CTAAGTACGTGTGTGTATCATGAAGGATTCGTCCTTTTAAAGCCCCTAAAGACTAATTAACATAGACTACCTAGTTAAACTCACAAAGCAAAAACATTCCTCCCCACTTCCTCCTCCCTTCCTCCCGGCTCCTCTGATTTTGGACACAGGGACTTTGTAGATGTAGCCTAGGCTTGCCTCATACTCTGAGCGCCAGGATCATAGGAGTATACTACCATACCTGGTGTTTCCTACATGTATTTTTCCCCATCTTTCTATGTGTACACGGTGTGCATGCATGCACACACAGGTGTATGTATCCATGTGGCAGCTTGAGGTTGTTATCAGGAATCATTGTTGATCACTCTTCTACCTCATTCATTGAGGCAGAGTCTCTCAACCAAACCCAGAGCTCACTGATAGGGCTAGTCTTGTTATAGCAACTGTATCTTCAAAAGCCAAAACCTGTACCCAGGAGGCAGAGGCAGGCAGATGTGAGATGGGGTCAGCTTGTCTACATAGTGAGTTCCAAGCCAGCTGGGGCCACAGGAAGACCTTGTCTCAAAAAACCAAAAACAACCACCAAAACAAAACAAAAAGTACTAAAATAAAAAGTAATAATTTATCTTTAAAAAAAAAAAGCCAAAACCTGGAGCAATCAGGGTGTCCTTTGGAATGGTTAAGCTTGATAGGATTTAGAATCACCTAAGAAACACACCTCAGTGCCTGTCTGTGAAGGTGTTTCCAGACAGGTTTAACTGAGTTGGAAAGACCCACCCTGAATGCGGGCAGCACCATCCCATGGACCAGGGTCCTGGGCAGAATAAAGTGAACTAAGAACCAGCATTCCTCTCTCTGCTTCCTAACTGTAGCCACAATGTGACCAACCTTCAAGTGTTCCCGCCATCATGCCTTCTCCAACAAAAAATAAATCCTTCCTCCCTTAAGTTGCTTGTATCAGGAATTTTGTTACAGCAATGAAAAAGTAACTAATACATTCTTCAACATGTGGATAGAAAAAGAAGTCGTTGCACATCCATACAACTGACTTTAGTAACAAAAATAAGCTCTCAAGACACAAGAAGGTATACAGGAACCTTAAAGGCAAATTTCTACTGGAAAGAAGCCAAAATGAAATGACTATATTCAACATCTACTATCATCATTTACATATTACTTGTTTTCCAACTATGAATACTAACTAGTCTGTTCCATAAGAAGGTAACACTATATTAACCTCGGTATGAAGGTGTGCACCCGTAGTTCCCCTTACTTAGAAGGCGAGGCATGAGGATCACTTCAGAGCTGAAGTTTGAGATCAGTCTAGACAACACAAGACCCAGTCTCAAAACAACAACAACAAAATACATTTATTTGGGTGTGGGTGGCACATACCTTCAATCCCAGTACTTGGGGCAGGGGGAGCAGATCTCTGTGAGTTTGAGGTCAGCTTTGTTACCTAGCAAGTTCCAGGCCAGCTGGGACTACAATAGTGAGACCATGTCTCAACAAAACACCCCCCTCAAAAAAAACAGTGCACACATAACCCAATTCAAGACTTGCGTCCACATTAAGATCAAATACTCATTAGCAATTTATAATATTTTCTTTTTTTGGTCTTTTTGAGACAGGGTTTCCCTGCAGTCCCAGCTGGCTTAGAACTTGCTACGCAGGCCAGACTGGCCTCAAACTCACAGATACCCATCTGCCTCTGCCTCCCAAGTGCTGGGATTAAAGACATGCACTGCCACACTGGGCTATAATTTTCAACAACTACCTTCTATGGTAATTTAAAGTGCTAGTATTAAGTTAAAGCCAACCCCATCTCCAACTTCCAAAACTCCAAAAGGGATATGCTGTGCCATGCAATGCCCACGGGAACGGTAACAGGGAAGCAAAGAGATGGGGAGACAAAGGGTGCACTATCTTTCTCCCTCCCTACTTTTATGCACACTTGAAATATTTTCATAAAACATCTGAGAAAAATTAATTACCAGTAAAATTGATTCCTTTAAACCAGCAAGGACTTAAGGTAGGGAGGCAGAATAAGACCCTGTTTTAATATTTAAAAACAAAACAAAATAGATAAAGGACACAAAAATGGTCCTTCATGGGGGACACATCTTAGTAACAGGGCTTCTTGGAAGATCCATCTTAAAAAGGGTCCAGAAGACAGACTTGCTGGGATTGGAACACTGAAAAAAATCCTAGAGCTCTCTTACTACAGTCTGTATAAGGTGAACATTTTAAAAGAATGTAGTGGAGCTGGAGAGGTGGCTTATCAGTTAAGAGCACTGGTTGCTCTTGCAGGGAACCCAGGTTCAGTTCCCAGGACCCACATGGAGGCTAATAACCATCACTACCTCCAGTTCCAGGGGCTCCAACACCCTCTTCTGACCTCCGTGGGCATTGCATGGCACGGGTTCACTGACATGCATGCAGACGATACACTCATGAACATTCAAAAAATTAAAATAGGGCTGGAGAGATGGCTCAGCAGTTAAGAACACTTGACGGTTCTTGCAGAAGACCCGGGTTCGAATCCAAGCACCCACATGGCAGCTAACAACTGTCCATAACTCCAGTTCCAGGGGATCTGGCAGCCTCTTCTGCCCTCTGTAGGCATTGCATGACACAGGTGCACTTACCTACATGCAGGCAATACACATATACACATAAAATAACAAATAAAATTTTTTAAAAATTAAAATAATAATTTAAAAAAATGTAGCCCAAATTTCTCTACCACTGAGCTATATCTCCAAGTCCACTGTTGCCTCCTCCTCCTTCCTCCTCCTCCCTCCCCCTCCCCCTCCCTCTCCTTCTCCTTCTGCTTCTCCTCCTCCTCCTTCTTCTTCTTTTTGTGTTGCTGTCTTTTTGAGACAGGGTCTCCCTGGCCTGGAACTCAAGAGATCTGCCTGCCTCTGCTGGGACTAAAGGCGGGTGCCACCAAGCCCAACTGTACTGTCTTCTATTCTTAAGGAAACAAAACAAAGCACAGGAACTAGGCATATTAATCAAAGAGAATGCCACAGGATTAGCAGTCAGGTATACTCAAAAAGTGAATCTAATTGCTGTGCAAATACTGTACTCTACCTCTGCCACCTAAAGAACACCAGGTTACAACGTTCATTTTCAAAATAAGAAAGGCAGAGAGATCAGTTTGGATTTCTCCAAGACCAGGATGGAAGGAAGAATAGGAGCTAGGAGGTAAGGCCTTAGATCAGAACTAGAGTCAAACCAGGGTCAGAAACCAAAGTCAGGGCAAGAAGTTGTCATTTATTTTCAAGAAATGAACAGACACATACTTATTTAAGCAAACTAAGTATCATTTGATACATTAAGTCAGCATATAATATATGCCATGTGTGCATCAAATATTTCCATATGTAAATTGTGTATTTTTTTACCCAATCAGAACTGAAATTAACTTTTGAAAAATGTGGCAGGATGCTGAGAAAATTACTTCCTGATTTTCACACATTAACACTTTAGGTATGCCTGCTATTCTTGTATCCCAATAAATTGTGATGGGAAGTGGAGGATTTCCTCTGTTAAGAAAAGTGTTACAGATACTGCTGCCGCCAGAGTGTCTAGATTAAAATAGGGAGCCCCATTTCCTCTTTGTAAGTCACAAACAGAATAGCGACCTGACAGTGCTTGCTACATCCCATTTCATAGTTACAAACATATAAATGAAAAGTTCCAAACAGAACCTTATATAAAGCAATTTCACCAATTTAAATGCTTACATAGACAGCAGGTTCTAAAGTCAAGCAGATAAAATCAAATGGAATATTATCAAATGTAAAGAGTCCTGAGTGAGTATGAATTACATACACCTGTAATTATAACACTTGGCAGTTAGCGACAAGAGGATCTAGAACTAAGGTCATTTTAGGCAACATAGTAAGACCCTGTCTCAAAAAGCAAGCTAGGCCTGGCAGCATAGGCCTGTTGGGCTAGCTACTTGGCAGGACGTGGCAGAAAGACCTCAAGTTCAAGCCTGGATTACAGAGTGAGTTCATGGTCAATCTGGACAATTTAGTGGGAACTTGTCTCAAAATAAAATACACAAAAACATCTGGAAATAGAGCTTAGTGGCAGCATGTCTGCCTAGCATGCACAAGGTTCTGGGTTCCAGCCCCAGCACCACAAACATAACAAACCAAATCAAACCAAACCTTGAAAATCCTTTGGAGCATTCTCTTTGGTGCTGGAATAACACCACATACGTACTATCCTAGATGCCAGGGGAAGGTAACTGGAAACTAGAGCTAAATGATCTCACCTGAGAAAGCTCCTCATTTCAAGGTCAGTCCTTACAAAACAGGTGCCTGTGGAGCAGCAATGGATGGCCACTTAACTGAACTGGCTCCAAAGTGTTAGCACATGCTGTCTCCCTACCCTCTTCCTGATCAGGAAACTAGGCTTTGAGAGGAGATGTAACTCAGTGGCAAAGCCAGTATTTAAACACAGCTCTAACAAACTCCAAAATCTAAGTCCCTTCCATTACATGATGTAGAATGAGGAAATGCCTCCTAGATCCAGCTGCTAACAAATGGTTATCAGGCCTTGAACAAGTAACTTGGTTTCTCAGCTATAAATCAAGGAACTGACTTAGATGACCTCAAAGATTCCTTCCAGCTCTTCTGTTCTGTGCTTCAAAAGCTTCCTCCTTCCTTTAAAGCACACTGAACACTCCTTCAGAGTAGAAGGCAGTTCAGTAGCTACTTGTCCAGCCTGTGTTCTGTCTTGTACATCTTGTACATGCTGGCAAATTCCCCAGGGGATAGTTTTCTTTACATGTGGCACTACTTCCCCAAACCAAGAGAATATGTTACTACTAGTCTTACAGCAATTTCTAACAAAATTATTTCTGTTACCATGCCCAATGTTTCTCTGCTTCAATGAACATTCTACAAGAAAATGGCATCAATCATTTACTATGACTTACATGCACACTAATACACTAAAGGTAATTTCAACACATACTACTGTGCCAGCAGATTGTTCAGCTGGGGTGTGCTCCACAATATCAAGCCAGCAAACACAAACGAGCCTCCAGTGTCGGTACTGAGTCGAAATGAATCAACCTGATCACCACAGTCATGTTCAAGGCCAGATCTTGGGAAGGAGCCTGTGCAGCACTTCCGTCAACTCCAGAGAACAGCGTAAGTCCACACTACACTGCAGTCATGTCCTGCACACATAGTAACTTCTGCAGAAATTTTGCTAAAACCACAGCAAAAGCTACGTATCTTTGGCTTTCACACTCTCCTTTTTTATTTTTTCAGGGAAAAGGTAGAATTCACCTATTCTACAAGCAGAATCACTACTAAATCTTTGGGATAAAGCACTAGTTGTAGATCTCTGGCAGCAGCACTCCAGAACAAAATTATTGTGTCACATCAAGATGCTCTGCTCTGTCGGCAAAGGAACCAAGGCTGGTCATACCACAGTGAGTACACTCTGGCACTAAGGATATGAGTTTTCCACTTTTGTATTTCAACAGTGGTGGCAGAAAACAGCAAATGCAAAATTCCAATCTGGTAAAAAAGACAGCTAAAAAGCACTACAAACTGGGCACTGTCAAGATGCACAACCCCTAACTAAAGCTCCCAAACTCTGATCATCAGACTACTCATATGTATTTTTTCATTAATTTTTGACACATAAGAAGCATTTACAAGGCTGGGAGGGAGGGCTCCGCTATTAAGAGTACATACTATCCTTACAGAGAACCTGAGTTTGGTTCCCAGCATCCACATCTGGTGGCTCACCTCCAGTTCCAGGGGATCCACAGTTCTCCTCTGCCCCCACACACAAATACGTAATTTAAAATAAAAATGAGATATTAGAAAAAAAAAGAAGTGTCTACAATGTGACTCACAAGAATTACTTTAGGGGCTAGGAAAAAGACAAACCCCCCTTCAATCCATGGTTTACATAATAGGGGAAGGACACACAGAGAAGTAGATAAATAAGCACAGGGAAATGTTTGAGGGTTCATAGGCCATATGGTCTGTGTCACAGTCCCTCAACTATGCCATCAACAAAAAGCTGCCACTGACAGCACATAAATGAAAGTGTGCACTGTGCTATAAGGCTTTATTTATAAAAACAGGCAGTGTTTACCATCCCTGGTCTAGAGAATAATCCTCAAGATTATCTGATTCTGATTTGATGAGATCTATTTTACAATTCTGAAAAATATAGGTAGCCAAAAGCAATACAAAATAACTGCCAAAAGATGCCTGGTGGACAGTTATGTGTCTCTCTGCACATTCCCAGTCAACATAACTTTGTTCCTTGTAAATCTATACCTTTCTAGCTTCTCTTTGATCTGGTTATAACATGTACCTATTTCCCTCACTAATTCATGGGTTAATTTAAATTTTAACATGCCTATTTTTGGTATTATATTTGTACAAGAGTTACAATGTCACCGTCTTCTGAAAAGTTAATTTTTAACAGTTTTGGAAGTCCACTGAGATGCCCCACAGACAGGATAAATGTCCCCTAAAATGCCCTCCACTCAGGCTACCTCAGGCTCAATCTGCCTTGGCTCCAGAAGAATCCAAGGAATCAGGAGGACCTGGCTCTGTTGTTCCAATTTTATTTTATTTATAGTTGTTTCTATTTTATGTGTATGAGTATCTTGCCTGTACGTATCTAAGTGTGCCATGTTCAAGCAGTGCCCACAGAGGCCAGAAGAGGGAGACAGATCCCCTGGAACTCAGGTAAGGGACACTTGTTACTTGTCCTGTGGGTCCTGGGACTAGAACCCAGGGGTCCTCTGCAAGATTAGATGGCTAAGCTCTCTCTCCAGCCTCTGTTGTTACAAATTTAATTTTCCTGTTTAGGGGCTGGGGATGTAGCTTGGCTAGCATGCATGAGGCCCTATGTTCAACCCCCAAAAACAATTCTAATAATTTCACATTTTGGTTTTGGTTAATATATAGTTGGCTTGGCTGGCAATCTGATTTTCTGGTCTGACCGTTTTGTGATCTCTGTAAGTGGAAATGGTTTCACAGAAATCTACTCTCCCCTGGGTGAGATAAAACAGAAACTTTGGCTTCTAGTTTTTTTCTGCTTACCTATCATGCAGAACATTTAAAATTACGAGTTATGACATTATTCTTAGCTGTTTAACTGATTTGCTATTGGAAGGTTTATGCAGAAGAGTAATAGCAACTGATTTATGTTTATCTTGTTTATATTTTTACATTTTAAATCAATCTAGTTGGTATAAGGAAAATGGGCTGCAAAGCCAGGTATGGGATATACACACATGCAATCCCAGCATACTGGAGGCCGAGGAGAAGGATTACAAGTTCACAGCTAGCCTGGACTATATAGGGAGAGGGGAGGAGGGCCAAAGCTTAGGCACTATGACATAGAGATGGAACCAGCGGAGAATGGGAAGGCCCAAACTAAGGGAATGTGGTATTCCATATGCTAGCCATGAAACTGCATGAAGACCTGGTCACCATGGATACAGAGTGATAACATAGATGTCAAAGAAGAGATGGAGCTTGGCTGGCTGTACACCTGGCTCTGTAGGAAGAGCAGATCCTGAACTGTTGGCCACTCCTGCTATTGTCTTGCATCCAGATACTGGACCAATGTGATGATGGCATTTATCATATTGTCCCAAGTGTGTGCTGTAATAAGACAAAGATCAAACCTCTAACCTTAAAACCTTAAGAGTGGAGATTATGTATACAAGATGGACACCAATAAAATGTAAAATCAAGGCTGACCCAGTCTCCTCTATGTGCAAAAATAGTTTACACGGCAGAAATTCAAATGCTATTTCTTACCAGACACAAAATTGCTGGTACAGGCTAGATATTAGCCTTCAGGTTTTTAAATGAGTTGCACACATTATTATTATTATTTGCATATGTGTATGTGTGCCTGCACATGCATATGAGGACTAGATGACAAAGTGATTTTCTATTGCTCTCCAACTTACTTTTGGAGACAGAGTCTCTTACTGAACCTGGAGCTTGCTGTTTTGGGCTAGACTGGCTGGCCAGCAAATCCTTGGAATTTGCCTGGCTCTGCCTCCAGCACTGGGAGTATAGGTGTATGCCACAGTGCCTGGCACTTATACGGATGATGGAGATCCAAACTTGGGTCTGCAAGCTTGTATAACAAACCTTTTCACCACTCAGTCATTTCCCCAGTAACCTCCATCCTTCATGTTTTTCACTCTGCCCTATCCGTAGGAACTAGGTGCTTCAAAAATAACTTAGTTTTAAATCTAAGAGTAAGTGTTAAAATATTTAATCAGTATATTTTGTTACTGATATAATTAGTATATTTTATTGATTTATGATACACAATCAAAATATAGAAAATAGAGAAATGAGTTTTTTTCTAAAGAAACTTTTAAAATGTCAGGATTGAAAGGTAAATTAAATGACACTCCATATAATCTTTAAAGCAGTGTAACTTTATGTTTCAAACAAAACTGAAAACATACACCCTTAACTAAGTTATTTTGTTCTTCTAAATCAAATGGCTTTCTAAATAGGAAATAATACATTTTCCTCTTAGGAGCGTGCACATCCATTATGAAGCATGCGGACAGCAAGGAATGCAGGGGTGGTTGCCATGGTGCCCAAAGGCTGGCTCATTGTACAGTCTTGGAAGTTGAGGACATTTCCAACTGCGGTATCATACTTAGGGAAGAGTTTTGAGGTGAATGCCACAGAGGACTTGGATTTCCTCAGGAGTCTACAATTGCCAAGAGTGTTCATTATAGAGAACTAACCTAGATTAAATCACACTGCAGAAAACCAAGCCTGAACAACTGTTCCTGTTAGTTTCCGGATAAATATCTATACATTTAGATATGGAAGTGGCAGAGAGGTAAAGCTGAGTCAGGATTTCCCTTAGTTCACAAAGATTCCAAGTATTCAGGAAAGATGGTATCAGAGAGAAGGGCAAAAACTAAGAAAGTAAAAGAACATTATGCTATCTTCTTTTTAGCACAGCCCTAAAGGGACTGGGGAGGGGTCACAGCTGATTTATTAGATGTTCATACAAATCATAGATCGGACCTCCTAAACTTGGCACAAATCAAGTATTGAATACATACTTCTCTGGTTCTATAGGTCTCAAATGAACCTTCAAGCCAATGTCAGCTCCAAAAGTTTGATAACATCTTAAGGTAAATGGCAGGCTTTCAGCCCCAGGCTCCGTCTTTGCTTTGAAGGAGTATGACAAAGAGCAGGTTCCAAGTAAAGACAATGGAGCTATGGAACACAACTTAGTGCTAGAAGAGGCAGGGCAGACAGGGAGGTCAGGAAAGGGCCCAGAGGACAAGCCACAGCAGAGCTCTTAGCTTAACAAGTCCTCTGTGTACACTAGCCCCACATGTATGAGCACCTGGGAGAAGGCCTTGGACTAGTTTCACAACTTCCTGTCAAATCTAACCTTACAAAACTGAAACTAAGGGGGTTTTGTGATATACAATAAAGTATGTCAAGAAAGCAGCTTCTCACCTCCCAACTAACATTGGTCCCTGTTGCTCTTGCTAATCAAAGTCCTCATTATTTGGACCAAAAAACACACTGTTGGCTAGGAATGTAGCTCAGTGGCAAAGTGCTTGCCTAGCATCAGTACTGAAAAGAGGTGACAAGGGGAGGGAAGAGAGGAGGGAGAAAAGAATCAAGCAAGAGTGGAGCAAGTAACCCTAGAAAAACAGAACCAAATAATCACAAGAGACCAATGGTCCTAAAGACCAAAGACTGCACATGTAACATAAGCCAGAGAATGAAAGCAATGGAGAAGTTGTGCAAGGTAGCACACATCTATAATCCCAGCTACTCAGAAGGCTGAGGCAGGAAGACTGAGAGTCTGAGTCCCAGGCCAGCCTGGACAACATACTGAGATTCCATCTCAAAAACAGAAAGAAAACCAATGTACTGGAAATAACCAGAAATGCTTTAGGTGATCATTTATTTTTATTTTTTGAATCAGGGTCTTGCTATAGAACCCAGGCTGGCTTGGATCCTGCTATCTTCTTGTTCTGCTTCCTGAGTACTGGAATTATAGGTGTGTGCCACCATGCCTGATTACTTTAGGTGATTTTTTTTTCCCCCAATGCTAGGGATTGAATCCAGTGGCATTAATATATCTAAGGTTAACACTGTAAAATGGGATATAAATTTATAGATAAAATACCATTTCACTACCCTTGGTAGAATACTTATAATCCCAGTACTGGGGGGGGGGGGGTTGGAGGCAAGTGATCAGGAGTTTCAGGTCACTCTTGGCTACATACCATGTTCAAGGTCAAACTGGGCTTCATGAGACCCTGTTTCAAAAAACAAATTCAACTAGAGGCTAGGCATGGTAGTAGACACACTTTAATCCCAAAAACATCTGTGTTTCTGCAAAAGGTCATTTTACAACATGTAAAAAGCATCAAAGGAAAATAATTTTTAATATTCACCCACCTCTTCCTGTACCTGCCTAAGCAGAGACCTGGGTGTCACCCTGGTTTCTTTTCTCTTCCTTACACACCGCATTCCACTAGTCACCAAGTCTATCTTCCAAATAGGCCTTCCACTGCAACAGTCTTCAGACCTGCCTTCTCCATATCAGCCTGCCTGCTTCCTTGTGAAACAAATCTGCTGATGTGGCTCTCTACCTCATGCTGCTTGCTCAGCCTTCCCAAAAGACAAGTCTCCATACTTCTAATGTGGCACTGACAGGTAGGTAGCTGCTGAAGATAAATACACTAAGCACTCCTTAGAGGAGGAAGAGATGCCACCCTGGATGGGAAGGTAGAGCAAGCTGAGTTACTCTGCCTACCTAACAATGTTCCCCCAAAGGGGTGAACAATGGGAGCAGACTAGGTAAGGTAGGATTGAGGGGAAAATCTTTTATGGTCTGCACAAGTCTTCACCAGTGAACACCTCTGATACTCCTCACTGGACAGTTCAGGGATTACAAACCTGCCACACTGCTGTGTAGCAATTTCTTCCTAGTTAAAACCTTTCATTTTGGAGGGAAGCTCCTTGAAACAGATGTTCAAAAGGGAGGCAAAGAACAGGATGTTCTAAAAGGAAGTAAACAACTCAATAGCTCAGGAAGTTCCTGAAATTGACCATATACACTAGGCCCCTCCCTTACCAAGCATATATAATCCCTAAAGACTGCTGAGAGACATTCAGACTAGCTGAGCTGCCACAAGAGGTTCCTGGAAGAAGCTCAGACCAATTAACTACCTGAAAAGGACACTCTCCAAGCTGTGAAGCTGCCTGTATAGTGTGTTCCAGGTTTCCAGCTTCTGTAAGCTGTCACCCATGCTGGAGTGGGTTTTGGGGGAGGCAGCTGTTGTTGAGTCTTTTCTGCTCCTATAGGTTACCCCTCACTCATATTCCCGTAAGTAACCCCAATAAAACTCACTGGTTCACCAGGTTGGATTTTGGTGATAACCTCCTGTGATCTATTGTTTGTTCCCTATATAGGGTGAGCAGATGTTTGTTCACATCTCCCCAGGCTCAAACTGTCCCAGACCAGGAAAAGTCAGGCTACTGAAAAGGAAGGCCTGGTACTACCTTCCTTCCTGGGGATTGCCACAGCCTGTTGTTGCTGCTTCTGGCTTAGATTCTATCTAACCAGTCTTTGTGGCAGCCAAAACAATTTTTCCAAAATACAAGTCTGAGTCTACCAATTTCCTGCTTGCCAGTATGCCAGGTCTCCCTGTCTTCCACTCCCACACCTGCTTACAGATCATTCCCAATCTAGTGCCTGCTCTGCCTTGTGAGTTTTTTCTCTCTGAGCTTCCCACTGTTTCCTCTACTGAAGTCCAGTTCCCATTCTGCAGCTCGCTCCACCCCTCTATCCAGTCCACAGAACTAAACTCCAGTCTCTCCCTGGAAGTCATTCCAGGCAGCTTTCTGAGTTTCTCACCAGCTCCTGGCCATTACTAGGGGAAGGATCTCTGCCCATGCACTCTCAAAGCACCCTTTTGTTATACCTCATGGCGCTGCTCTGACAATGCTTTCCTTCCTGCTTTATTTCCAATGGTAACCCTGAGGACAGGGACAGCGCCCTGTGTACTGTGATGCTGCCAGCACCAGCACAGTGCTTAATACACAATTGATGCAATCAACAAATGTTTATTAAACAATGACAATAAGGAAAGATGGATGAACCTATGGAAATATGGGAGCAGTAGTCTGAGCGTACTTGTGAAGAGAAAAAGAACAAATGACAATGTAGGAAAACTAAGGTGCTTCCTGTTTGAATGGCTTTCAGTGACAAAACAAATACCACAGCCAGGCATGGTGCTGCATGCCTTTAATTCCAGCACTCGGGAGGCAGAGGCAGGTGGATCTGTGTGAGTTCAAGGCCAACCTGGTCTACACAGTGAGTTTCAGGACAACTGGGGCTACAGGGAGACCCTGTCTCAAAAAAAACAAACAAACAAAAAAACAAATACCACAAAGTGCTTCAGCATCAGCTTCCTAGGATGACAAGGCACAAGAGTATAAGCAGATCCCGTTCTGAAAATACTCACATAGCCGAGCTATTCCTAAGAGAGAATTTTCATGCCTGGATGTTGATGGCAATCAAGAGATCACTGCCTGCAGATCCTATCTGTAGCACTCCTCACCTACCTCTTCTCCCAGACCAGAGATGATGGCTTCATGACAATTTTATACTCTGCCTTCCTGACTGCGAGACCACGACTGGTTTCTTTCCTTCTATAAACTAAACGGTACAGTGGGGAAGCTCCTGGCTTAGACAAGTATATTTCATTTTTTTCTTTTTCTGTCTTTTTTCTGAAGCAGGGTCTCCCTGTAGCCCCAGCTGTCCTGGAACTCACTATGTAGACCAGGCTGGCCTTGAACTCACAGAAATCTACCTGCCTCTGCCTCCCAAGTGCTGAGACTACAGGTGTGCGCCAACACGCCCAGCTAGAAAAGTAATTCTTTAAGGATGGCAAAGTAAGGACAAAGCATAAACCAGATATCATCACTGATGGATCAATCTAAGAAAGCCTCTTTCAAATATAACTTATTGTAAAAGGAACAAACTATGATGAAATAACCAAAAGAGTACTAGACTCTTATTTTAGATTTAGATTCTTCCTGCTCAATAACTGAACATTTAAGATTATGAAATATTTTGAGCCAGGCGTGGTGCCGCACGCCTTTAATCTTCACACTGGGGAGGCAGAGGCAGGTGGATTTTTGTGAGTTTAAGGCCAGTCTGATCTACACAGCAAGTTCCAGGTTGGCTGGGGCTACAGGGAGATCCTGTCTTAAAAAAAGACAAAAATAAGTAAATAAATAAATAAATAAATAAGAAATATTTCAATGCAAAAAAAAATTCTGAAGAATACTAGCCTTTTCATGCCTATATTAATGTAACCCCAAAAAAACATCAGTGTTTAGACCTAATTCTACTGAGCCAAAGAAGCAAACTCAGCCTACCAGTGAATTTGCTGTGCATCACAACATGGTCACAGGAAGCCCAAAGTCCCTCAATACAAGCAATTCAAAATAAAGTATCTTTGTTTGCTCTAGTTTAATTCTAGTTCTTGCTGGTCCTCCTTACCGGAATGTAATAGATGCCCATCTTGGGGGTTTCATTGGCAGTAAGAAGCATTCCTGAAAACACAACAAAAAAGGTAAGCAGGTGACAAGAAGTACCCTTCTCTACTGTCAAGCCTGAACAACACCCCTTAGTTAGGACTTGCCTTTCTAGGGCCATCTCTCTAGTACCCTAAAAATCTATTTGTAAAATATAGAGGATCTCAGAGACATTTAGATATCACAATTAAATATACTAAATGTGATGGACAATTACTTGATTCTGTTTTTTAAAGAATATTTTTAAGTTGGGCGAGGGGGCGCACACCTTTAGTCCCAGCACTCGGGAGGCAGAGGCAGGCAGATCACTGAGTTCAAGGCCAACCTGGTCTACATAGTGAGTTCTAGACCAGCCCTACTACAGGGAAACCCTGTCTCAAAAAGGCCTGGGCTACATGAACTCCTGTTTCAAAACACTAAATAAACAAACAAACAAAAACCCCAAAATGAAATGCTTAGTAAATGAGATCAATGACCATGTCTTGCCCATAACTCAACTGTGTGAACTAGCCCCTAAACTGGAACCCATGGACCCCAGACTAAACTTACATGCCACAAGTATACCCGAAAACATTTAATGAAGTCTAGAAAAGCAAGAGCATGTCTAGATTAAAGAAAAATAGATATCAGAGCTGTTTTTCATAACCTGTATGTAGCCCCCACAAAATCTTTCACCTCGGCCCTTGCTCTGGCCCTAGAAGCAGAATGATCACCAAAGGGTTTCCTTCAGGTGAAGGAGGAACACGGCGCTGACTCAACTTACTAAGCATCCTCAGACAGCAACTGCCAACATTTCTCTAAGAGTCTGACTAAAAAGTAATCTGAAGATGTAGCTCAGTTGGTAGAGTGACTGCCTAATATTCATGAAGCCCTGAGTTCACCCTATACTGCATAAACCCAGCATATCATTCCACCACTTGGGAGGTGGAGACAGAACAATCAAGAGTTCAAAGTCATCTTCAGCTAGATAGTGAGTTCAAGGCTAGTCAGGGCTACTGAGACCCAAGACAAGGATAAGGGGGGTGGGGAGATAAAGGAGGAAGAGGGGGAGGGGAGAAGAAGAGGAGTTGTTTGGGGGGACGGAGGTAACATATTACAACCAAGAAGATTTCTGCTGAAGACATCCCCTAAGCCTGTCTTCACTGCCTCAGTCTAGAACAATGGACAACTGACAATGAACTTTTCACAAGAAAACACAACCATAACTACCAAACACACCACAGAAAGGGCTCACATGTAATTACACTGAGAACATACTGTGTGCCGTTAGACTGCTTTCCACAAGACAGTCTTATCTCACTTGGTCAAATATGACCAATGACACCAGCCAATCTACTACCAAACTCAAAGAGGGCAGACTCAGGATTATGAATGAGAAAAATAACCTCATAAAGTCTAAACAGCATTAGAAATTTCAAACAAGTAGAAACAGAAGCATCAGGCTGGTGACAAGAAGTCTTAGTTCAGTGAGGCTAAGATGTGCTCCACAAGAGAAGGCAAGAGAAGAATGGAGCACGAGCTCTGTGTTGGCATCATTACCTCAGAAAGCTCAGGATTTGTGAAGGTCGCCACACAGCTGGGAGCAGTGGCCATATTTGACTGATTCCAAAGCCCTTGTAAAATGGAACTTGAAAACGCCAAAACAGACAAAATCAAAGGACTTCCTTTTCAAAATTATTTTTATCATTTTAATTTTATGTGTGTGACTATATTGCCTGCATGCATGTAATTACACCCATGGCATGAGAGCATTGGATGCCCAGGAACTGCAGCTATAGATGGCTGTTAGCCGCCATGTGGATACTGAGAACTAAATCTGGGTCCTCTACAAGAGGAGCCAGTGCTCTTAACTGCTAAGCCATCTCTCCAGCCTCCTGAAAGGGCTTCTTACACAATCAAGTCAGTCTAAATACACCCAGCAAAATGAAAAATGATCTCACCATCTACAAGCAACCAACTCGCCCTTCCTCAGTTTTCATTCTGTTTCCAGTGTCATGTCAGAGTAAACAGCAGAAGGTCTGAGTACAATTTAACTTAGGAACATGTGAGTCATGTAGCAAGACTTTAATGAAAGCAGGAACAGTTCTTATGAAGAGACTGACATTATAGATAGCATTTTCCATTAAATTTCTCATAATGTTGTTTATTGTTCCCCTACCAGAAACAAAAATGTTCAGAGAAAGGAAAGACATGAGCATCTAGAATCAAAGGCACTCTCCTCCAATATGAAGCAGTCCTCTGTGGCGTAGTTGCTGCATATTCCATTACATTGTGTAATATGTAACACATTATACATTACATATTGCACAGTGTAATATGGCATAGTTACTGCATGCTACACAGTGTAATATGGTGACAGAGGCTCCCTGAACACTTGCACACATCAGTACTCATCTGGATGTGCTTGAGGGGAAAGGACTCACCAAGGCTCAAAACACAAAACCGGAATAGTATTCTACAGCAGCATTACTCAAGGTGAGCTCCCTGGGGCAGTCTGCAACCCACTAGCAGACTGGGAGATGGTAAGTGGCATCTCCCTGCAAAGAATCAGAAACTTAAAAGCACAGAAAAAGAACATTAGATATGTTTGAAAAGCAATGCACTAAAACACATGGCTTCAGTTGCACCCTAATGGCTCAGGGAAGACATAGTGGCGACAGCATCTGCCTGCCCTTCAGCTTCTGACTTAAGTGTGGAGCATATGTGCGTACTATATGAGGCTCTGAGGACATATGCAAATACCCCAGTGGTTGTTTTTCCATGTCATCCTGTGTCACAGGATGTTGATGGAGAATAAAAGCTACTTGGCATTTCGAAGTACAGCCAGTTTCCCACAGCCCTGTATAGTGAGTGAAAAAGCTAAGAGAGGTAATAGGCACGATTAAACCTGAAGCAGGTCTTTCTTAAGCCCAAAGCTCACCACTTTCTCTCTCTACCAATGGTTCTGACCTCCTGCTCCTGCTTCTACAGGATGGGCTGGGACTCAGACACATGCAAGCACACCAGAGTACCAGAGAGCTATGCTGACTGAAAACACCCCAACATTCACAAAGCAGGTGCTCTACACATGGAAGCTGAGAGAAAGTTAAATAAGCAACCAAAGAAGGGCCAAAAAAAGAGCTAGGAAGGCAGTTCTCAATATTCTGAACTATCTTGCTAACAGAAAAACATTACTAAACAATTGTTACGACTAGGCCTTAATTACTCCAAAATGAGTAAGTGAGCAAATAAAGGAGGTGTGAGCTTTTCCAAATTATGATTACATACATAGTGATCAAGCCCAAAATAGAGTGGAAGGGAAGAGGTGTGGTAAAGCAAGCTTGGAGCAGAATCTGTAAGGCAAGAGCATGCAGCCTGAGCCACTGAGGACCAAGGCCTCACCTCCATGGCTTGAAACAATCCCTGGGTTGGCTAATCGACATCTGATTGTCTCCTGTACATTTTCTGACAAGAAGAGCTACTTTTCTGTCCAACCAGAATTTGGTAATAGAGAGATCTCAACGTAGTACACCAGCCTATCCTCCCCAACACTGGATGATCTGCTGGGATACAATGTGACATGCAGAGCCTGTAGCCTGGCATGACACTTGTCTACAATTCTTAACCTAAACTCAGTTCCAAGCTGGTAACCTCACTGCTGAACTCCATCAAGCTGATAGGTCTCACTAAATTTATTAAGTTGGGGGACATCACTGCTAAACTTAATCAAGCCCTCACTGGTACTTTAGAACCAGCACAGGCTAGCGAACAAGCTAAATGACAGCAGAAGAAGCAAGCACACATATCCAAGAGACATTCCACTAGACCACTGGCCTGACCTACAAAAGCCAACTCTGTCTGGCGATGGTGCACATCTTTAATCCCAGCACTTGGGAGGCAGAGGCAGGCCAACCTCTGTGAGATCAAGGCCAGCCTGGTCTACATAGCGAGTTCTAGGCCAGTTGACTACAGGGAGACCCTGTCTAAAAATTCAAGGGAAGGGGATCTATCTACTCTGGGGTGAAGGTCCCTTATCATTCTCTATTACCCTTCAGATTGTTACTACCTCAGCAACCAATTTCTCTCCTCATTCCTGTTCTAACCTCTCTGCTATCTGCTTCACTGAACTTCCTATATAGCCCAGAACCCACTTCTGATCATTTCAATGTCCCAAACAGGAGCTCAGCATCTTTACCTGCAATGAATTCACTGACTCTGTGGAGGGGAACTTCACAACCACTATTCACATAAAATCCTCTCAACTCTCAGAGATGAAATGTAAATGGCAAAGTCCTCAATGACCTGCCTTCTCTCCTTCCTGCTCTCTAGCATGTAACTAGAAAGCACCCACTTCAGGAAGGTTCTAACCAACGCCATGCCATATACCAGCCAGGTAACCAGCCCTGGTAAACTACCAATTGTTTTAACTTCCCAAGGAGCAAGAAAGAAAAATGTGAGAGTTAGGCATGATGTCACTTGCCTATAATTTCAGCACTCAGAAAGCTGAGTGGGAAGAACATGTGTTCAAGGCCAGCTTGGACTACACAGTGTTTCAAAGGGCAGCCTGCTGGAATACATAAAGAGAACCTGTCTCAGTAAAACAAAAAAGGAGAGCAACAAAACCAAAGCCAGAAATAAAGAAGGAAAAACAAATTGTGGACCACTGACTACACAGGTTTCTAAAAAGGTAATTTGCATTACTGCACTCAGACTAATAACATCCTAGTATTCAGTCAGTCTCTGTTCTTCCCTCCAGGATCCAACTGTAGGACCCATGGACCCTCAGTGCAGAAATGCCTGGTCCTTTACTATCATTCTGTCCCATCCTGGAAGTTTCTCTGCTTGCTCTTCTCCCTCTCCCTCTAAATGAGCCAGCTCCTGCTATCCTCCTGACTCCACACGTCCCTTTGGTGATCACATTACTCTCACATTTTCTGAGGATCGATTTGTATTTATCTGTTTCAAAACGTTCTCTCGGCACACCCGCTTACTAGAGACCACTTGTGCACCATGGTGCACCAGGTGCTAGTCTAGGGTCAGTGCAGGGCCTGCTGCATAAGAGTTATCAAGGAACATTTGAGCCTAATGCCTGGACCCTGAGTCAGTATATCTAGAAGTCAAGACCTCCATACTTTCGGATCTCCCAAGAAGACTTTAATAGCAGTCAGGTATGAGACTAGCATACACTGTTACTCTCCTGTCACCTCCTAATACTCAAATGTCAGACACAGAAGACATGTTTGTGCTCCCTCGTCTCAACTCAAAACTACTTCCTAGGCACTGTAGTTCCAAACCAGCCTGCTCTGAACCTGTGTGGGTTCTCTGGTGACAGACAAAGCCCAAGCAGTCAGACACCTCACTCCTGGACTGGTACCACCTGACCCCAGCCTCCTCAAACTAGCCCTCAGCCCTCTCCTCCTTGCTCTTCTCACACTGTCCTCTCTCAGTGGGATCACCTTATCACAAAGCCTTTCTAATCCCACTCACTGACTGTCCCCAATGCAAGCCAATGAAAGTCTCTGCCTTCCTCTCTGCAGGTCTGGCTGAATGACTCCCTGTAACATGTTGGCAAAATGCTGTCTGCACACCCACAATGGACATTTCAGGCTCTGCTATGCTCCCTGCTAGGAGAATCATGTGTGCTGTTCTCAGAGGATATTGCTCCAGAGTAGGGAGTGTCCTCATTTTTCTCTTGGACCCCATTCAGCATCTGCCCTGAATATACTATTAATTTTGAAGTCTATCATGTAACCTGCTGAACAGTACTCAAAAGTACTCAAGTATGCATAAGATACTTAAACCCATGGCTCTATAACCATCAGTATATCATCAGGTGACTCTAGCCTCCTCTAAATCCTTAACCTCAATTTCCACATGCTATTACTAATCACATAAAAGAGCATACCAAAATAGCCTTTCACCTGCCTCCTACCTGTATTTTGTTACCAGTTTCTACTAATAGCTAGGCGGGCTGAGGACGACTGAGTCATTAAGAGTGCCCTTTACTGAATCATCCACACCACTTCCTGTAAAGTAAGTGAAATAACCAAGAACTGTTCTGACCAAGTCAAACTATATCTTATGAAGTAAACTTAATTTAAAACCCCAAAGCAGGAACACTTGTCTCACTAAGTGATCATCTGTGATATGTTGCATACCTGAGTTAGGATAGAGGCAAACATCATTAAGGTCATGTTCTGGCTCCAAGGAAGTAAATATTTTCCCCTAAAACAATAAGCAAAAATGAATTACTAAAACAGTTCTAGAAAGACAGCTTTTAGCAGTGTCACACAAAGAAAATAAACTGGCAAGATAACCCACCTACTGCTACATTAAAAAATGATTGAAAGCCAGGCGTGGTGGTACACGCCTTTAATCCCAGCACTTGGGAGGCAGAGGCAGAGGCAGGCGGATCTCTGTGAGTTCAAGGCCATCCTGGTCTACATAGTGAGTTCCAGGTCAGCTGGGGCTACAGGGAAACCCTATCTCAAAAAGACCAAAAAAAAGAATGATTGAAAGAATTATAAAACTCTTATCTGTCTGACCAACTTATCAAATGCTCTCATTTTAGAGATAAAGAAACTGAGGCAAAGAGGTGACTTGTTCAAAACAAAGATACGCACTACACAGAAGATGGTAGGGTTTAAAGGAAGCTGCACACATCAGAAGCATATGCTTGACTTAAATAAACCAAAGGAGAGATGGCCACAGACAACAAGGCTCTCTGCCATATGTGCAGTGCAGGGCTTAGAGTAAGTGGAGTGTAGTTCAGTGTAGCTCAGCACTGGACAGCAAGCTCATGGCCCGAGGTTCATCTTCGACACCACAAAAGAACAAAAGGCAATGGTATGATGCACAAAATGAAACCCAGACCTCCACAGTATTGGCTATTATAACGAAGGCTAAAACATTTCTATTTTAAATGTGGGAATATACCATATTATTAAAAATTAAAAAAAAAAAAGACCAGAAAGTGGGTGCGGAGAAAGACAAAGAGAAAGATAAACAAGGAAAGCAGGTCATGCAAAACCAAGTAATCTGTTAGTCAAGAGGAAGTATTTAGTCTTAAGAAACAAAAAGTGCCAAAATAAAATTTATTGTAGCAATTATAGTATGATGCCTTCAAGTGGTGATGCCAGCAAGTTCTGCCAGCTCTTGCAGCCTTTAAGTCATTAGCAGAAGACTGACACCAGGACATGGCGCACTCCCAGGGCAGAAAGGGGTGGAGCTGAAGCCTGAGCAGGATGGTTATTTCATGTTTCTTGAAAACCAGTAGCCAAGTTCTTGCTTAACACAAGCAGTGAGACGCACCTAGCTACTTCTTTCCTCTCAAGCTTCCACTGAAATGGGAAGGAAAGGGAAAGGAAAAAGAAGGAAAGAGATCAAGATCTACAACGGCATGGAACAACAAGGAAAAAATGGGCTCCACAGGTGACAGAAATTCAGATCAAAGGAAACCTGTAGCACCTAGAGGCTCCGGAAGGATATGTCCAAACTGAGTCATTAGCTTTAGGTAGGAAGCCAGGCCCAGGGCAACTCCTTTACAATATCTCATGAATTTCCAAGATAAAGAGTCAGGTGTGGTGGCACACATTTGTAATTAGAACATTCAGAAGGTAGAGGTAGGATTGTGAGTTTGAGGCGAGCCTGAGCTGCACAATGAATTCCAGGCAAGCCTTAGCTACAAAGAGACACTTCACCACTAAATAAGCAAAATCTATGTACTTATATAATTAAAAATAAGTGAAGCTTTTGAAAATATTTGTGATTTTTTGATAAGGGGTCTCACTATATAGCTCAAGTTGGCCTCAAACTCTTGGTCCTCTTGCCTTAGTCAACCTTCCAAGTGTTGGGATTCTAGACAGATACCACAATGCCTAACTGAACAGTGTTTTTATAACAATAGTTAGGACTGCCAGAAAAGGACCAGAAATAATCCTGGTCTAAGATACCCCAAGTTGCCCCAAAATAGTCCTCCAAATCCTCCAAACCCAAAGCAGACAGCATAATCAATGTCTGGTCAAATCACAGAGGTAATCCACAAGAATTCACAAAGTTTAGAGCTGGTCCTCTTCTCTGTAACTTAACAAAACCACAAGGATCTCAAGGACAGCCACAACACTGAGACAGATCAGAAGATAAAGGACAGCACTTTGGGAGTTAAAAATTCAAAAATTTCAAAAACAACAGTGCTGGCTAAAGAAGCCAGAGCTGACAGTGGCTGGACTGACTGAGCTGCCTGCAGCCCAGTGCCCTAAACAAAGCAGGTCACTGCAAAAATCAGCACCTGCCACCAGCAATGAGTGCTGATAGGATGGATTTTCCACCGAACTTTGTCTTAGATAGGAATTTTTTAGTAACACTTTTAATTGATATAATTATTAACTATTAACTGAAAATAAAATTGTGTCTAAGAGGCTAGAGGTAAGTTCAGTAGTTAACAGCACTTGTTGCTCTTCGAGAGGACCTGAGTTCAGTTCCCAGGACCCACGCTAGGCAGCTCACAACCACCTGAAACTACAGCTCAGGTGATCTGACACCCTCTTCTGGTCTCCACGGGCACCTGCACACATGTGGCATACATGCACAAAGACACATACATACAAATAAAAATTAAAAACTAAAAAATAAAAGAGTCTAAGTTTCTATGTAATGAAATACACAGAACACTTAAAAATACTTGTTGTCCAGGTATAGCTATAATTCCAGCAATGGAAAGGCTGAGGCAAGAGAACTGTGAGTTTAAGGTCAGCCTGGGTTACATATCAAAACCTGTATCAAAAAGAAAGAGATGGGGCTGGAGAGCTGACTGAGTAGTTAAGAGCGCTTACTGCTCTTCCAAAGGACCTGAGTCTAGTTCCCAGCACCCACGTCAGACAGCTCACAACCTCCTATAACTTCAGTTATGGGGATTCTAATGCCCTCTTCTGGGCCCTGTTCAATGTGGTAGACACGCAGACACATGAGTAAGAATTTTTAAAACTTTTATAAAGAAAAAAAGAAAGTGAGGGCTGAAGAGATGGCTCAGGGGGTGAGTACTGGCTGCTCTTACATAGGACCCAGCTTCGATTCCCAGCACCCAGATGGCAGCTAACAACTGTCTATAAATCTAGTTACATCTAGGGGAATCCAACAACCTCTTCTGACTTCCATGGGTACTGCATGACATGGTGCACATGTAGGCATAACACTCGTACACATAAGATAAAAATAATAATAAAAAGAGAAAGTGAGAAGCAATTGATATAATGAATCCATTTTTTAAAAAAATATTATTTTTATTTTATGTGCATGCTTGTATTGCCTGCATGTAGGTAAGGGCACCCGTGTCGTGCACAGCCTGTGGAGGACAGAAGAGGCTGTCGGAACCCCCTGGAACTGGAGTTATGGACAGTTGTTAGCTGCCATGTGGGTGCTGGGATTCAAACCCGGGTCTTCTGCAAGAACAGTGTTCTTAACCTCTGAGCCATCTCTCCAGCCCTCATACTGAATCAATTTTACTGATTTAGTGATCTTCCTTACGTTCTATTCTCCCAAAATAGTTGAGACAATCTCACTGAACTTGAATTGATCTTCCCACCTCAACTCCTATGTACCAGTCTCACCTCCTGAGCAGTAAAATTAAAGGCATGAGCCACCACACCCAACAAATACTTAGGCTTTAAAAAGGAAATAAGCCCAAGCTTGGCAGAACAGGCCTGCAATTTGCGTACTTCAGAGGCAAGGCAAAAAAATCAGAAGTTGGGGCTAGAGAGATGGCTCAGCAGTTAAGAGCACTGGCTGCTCATGCAGAGAATCGGGGTTCGATTCCCAGCACCCACATGGTAGCTAACAACCGTCCATAACTCTAGTTCCAGGGGAATCCAACACCTTCATCTGACCTCCTCGGGCACTGCACGACACAGGTGGACTTACACACATGCAGGCAATATACTCATGCACTAAAATAAAAATATTAAGTATCTTTTTTAAAATCAGGTGTTAGGCGGGTGTGGTGATGCATGCCTTTAATCCCAGCACTTGGAGGCAGAGGCAGGCAGAACTCTCTGAGTTCAAGACCAACCTGGTCTACAAAGCGAATTCCAGGCCGGCTGGGGCTACAAGGAGACCCTGTCTCAAAAAAATAAAAAAAGAAAAGCCTAACACAGATTGAAACAAGCAATATGAAATAGCATTACTTTAAAAATAACAGTTGCACGCCTTTAGTCCCAGCACTCGGGAGGCAGAGGCAGGCAGATCTTTGTGAGTTCGAGGCCAGCCTGGTATACATAGTGAGTTCCAGGACAGCTGGGGCTACAGAGAGAGACCCTGTCTCAAAAACAACAACAACAACAACAAAATAACATTTGGGGGGCTGGAGAGATGGCTCAGCGGTAAGAACACTGGTTGTTCTTGCAGAAGACCCAGGTTTGAATCCCAGCACCCACATGGCAGCTAACAACTGTCCGTAAGTCCAGTCCCAGGGGATCCGACAGCCTCTTTTGACCTCTGTGGGCATTGCACAACACGGGTGCACTTACCTACCTACATGCAGGCATAACACTCATACACATAAAATAAAAATTAAAAAAAAAAAAGTTTAAAAATAACATTTGGGGGGCTGGAGAAATGGCTCAGCAGTTAAGAGCACTGACTACTCTTACAGAGGACCTGAGTTTGATTGCCAGAACCCACATGGAGTTTAAGAACTGTCCTTAACTCCAGTTCCAAGGGAATCCAAATCCCTCTTGTGACCTCCGTGGCATTGTATGACATGGGTGCACTCACATCCATGCAGGCAATACACACATACACATAAAATAAAAATAAATTTTTTAAAAAATTTTATTTATTTTTTCATTGTATGTGTATGCATGTATTGCCTGCATGTAGGTAAGTGTACCTGTGTCGTGCAATGCCCGAGGAAGTCAGAAGAGCTGTTGGATCCCCTGGGACTGGAGTTACAGACAGCTGTTAGCTGCCATGTGAGTGCTGGGATTCAAACCCAAGTCTTCTGCAAGAACAACCAGTGTTCTTAACTTCTGAGCCATCTCTCCAGCCCCATAATAAAATTAAAAAAAAATAATAACATTAGGAGTTGAGGGGGTGTGCTGGATAGCTTCAATTGTCAACTTGACATACCTGGGAGGAGCGACCCTCAACTGAGGCATTTACTCTCTCCATCCAACTGGCCTGTGGGCATATCTATAAGGCATTTTCTTAGTTGCTGTTTGATATGGGAGGGCCCAGTCCATTGGGGGTGGTGCCACCCTTAGGCAGGTGGTCCTAAATTGTTTAAGAAAACATGCTGAAGCTGGGCGTGGTGGTGCATGCCTTTAATCCCAGCACTTGGGAGGCAGAGGCAGGAGGATCTCTGTGAGTTCAAGGCCAGCCTGGTCTACATAGTGAGTTCTAGGACAGCTGGGGCTACAGGGAGACCCTGTCTCAAAAAGACCAAAAAAAAAAAGAGAGAGAGAGAGAGAGAGATCTTAGGGTAGGAGGTTTCTTAGAGAAAGCCTCACGTAGACCATGATTTTCTTTCCACCTAACATATCTAAAATGCATGTAGCAACAAGATAGATCAATGGGTAAAGACCCTTGCTGCCAAGCCTGATGGCCTGAATTCAAGCCTGGGAACTCATATGGTAGAGGGAGAACTGACTCTCTCAAGCTATCTTCTGACCTCCCTATGCATGCCGTGGCAAATGTGCACACACATGTAAATAAAATGTTAAAATAAAATGCATGCCAAGGCTAGCTAGTCAGGAAGAACAGGAATGTGACTGCTTTACCCAAATATAGATGTTCCCTGTCCTGAAGTAACTGACCTGCTGGTTTCCAAATGGCTACTCAGCATGTCCTTCTCAAGAACCCACATACCACCCCCCCCAAAAAAGGCAATGGAGGCAGGCATGGTGGCATATGCCTTTAATTCCAGTACTGAGGCTACAGAAAGACCCTGTCAAAAAAGAAAAAAAAAAGGCAATGGAAAGAAAAGAAGCAATGGAAAGGCATGCAAAGAAATGTAACAGAACCTACGTACTGAGTTCTTGTTCCACATTTTGATAATTCTAGAGTCTGCAGACAAAATCAAATCTAATGAATCCTGGAAATGAACTGACTTAATGGGCAGCCCATACTGATGATCCTTGACGAGCAATGGCTTATCAGAGCGAAGATCATATAATAACACCTAAAAGAAAAAATAAGAGTTACTTCTACCAAACAAACAATTTTTCCTTACAAAGAAACATTTAAAACTTAGAGTAAGTCTGAGTCTGCAGACAAAATCAAATCTAATGAATCCTGGAAATGAACTGACTTAATGGGCAGCCCATACTGATGATCCTTGACGAGCAATGGCTTATCAGAGCGAAGATCATATAATAACACCTAAAAGAAAAAATAAGAGTTACTTCTACCAAACAAACAATTTTGCCTTACAAAGAAACATTTAAAACTTAGAGTAAGAGCCAGGCATAGCGGTGTACACCTTTAATCCCAGCATCTGAGAGACAGGCAGGAGGATCCAGTGAGATGAGGCCAGCTTGGTCTACATATGGAGTTCCAAGCCAGCTGGGACTGCAGGGAGACCCTGTCTCAAAAACAAAACAAAACAAAACATACCACACCACACCACACCAAACAAAACAAAACCAAAACAAAAAACAAAACGACCCTAGAATAATGGATTGGGGGGGAGGTAGCTCAGCTAATAAAGAATGGAGGTCAAGCATGTGGGAAGCCCTGAGTTCAATCCCCAGCACCACAAAAAAACAGACATAGTGACACATGCCTGTAATCTCAGCACTTAGAATATGGAACTGAGACTCAGGAGTTCAAGTCACCCTCAGCTACTTAGCAAGTCTGAAGTCGACCTCAGCTACATGAGACCCTGTCTCAAAAAAAAAATTAAAAAGTTCAAATAGTGATTGCTATTTGTTTCATAACCTTATGAACACAACAAACACTTAAGAGTCAAACACTAAAGCTAGCTGGCAATACTAATAGAAGACTTTTAAACTGCCCTGAGAATACATTTTGGTGAATTCAACCCTGGGAGTAATTTTTAGGCATACTAAGTTTGAGAATTCTGACCTGCACTAAGAAAAGAACAAAATGAAAGTTAAAAAATTTGCTTCATTTGTTAATTAGCAAATATATACCAATGGCCTTCCAGAGCAGGTACTGTTGTAGCAAGTGACATTTTAAAAGAGAATGGAATACACTGAGCTGGCAGGTTTGGAACTGGTGGAAGGGGCAGGACTATGGCTCTGGAAGATAGGGAGTGTCTTCTGATACCTGCCATTAGAGGCAAGGGAGCCTGGGAAGCTAGGTCTTAGTCTCAGGTAACAGGTCCCCTCCAGCCCTGGGTGAGAGGCAGTAAATCTCTGACAGTCTCAGACCTCTTTAGGGTTTGACAAACTTACAAGACATACTCCCCAGACTAGCAATACTAAAGCAGGTTCTGTGGACAATGTGGACACAGTTAAAGTATTATGTGGGGAAAAAAAAGTCTCCTTGGGTCAGGTTATGGTAGAGCATACCTTTAATTTTTAAATTTTGTTTTATTTTTATTTTATGTGCGTGTGGGTGTTTTGCCTTCATGTATGTGAGTATACCCATGCATACAATGCCTGCAGAGGCCAGAAGAGGATATCAGATTCGCTGGAACTAGAGGGATGTTACCAGTCATGTGGGTGCTGGGAACTGAACCCAGGTCTTCTATAAAAACATTGAGAACCATTATCTGCTGATTTATCTCTCCAGCCCATGGACACACCTTTAAACCTATCACTTGGAAGGCAGAGGCAGACAAATCTCTTGTGAGTTCAAGGGCAGCCTCATCTACATAGTGAGTCCCAGGTCAGCCAGGACTACAGAGCTTCAATGACAATGGAAGTCACAGAATGACATGATTTTCCCACACTTACCAAACGAAGCTGTGTCACCACATGTACAAGAAAAGAAGCGGGTGGCACACACACTCCTGGCATGGATGATGCCCCTCTTCCAGCACTGTGGCTGCCCCAATCAATGAACAAAGCAGGTTTGTGGTAGAATAAATGAGGACAGCTTTCTTCTAGGCATCTTTTTAAAACTTGAAAGCCATGGCTACATAGTAAGACCCTGTCTGAAAAAACAAAGGCTCAAAACCACAACAACAAAAATCACAAAGGCTCAGCCAGGCACGGTGGTGTATACCTTTAGTCCCAGCACTCAGGAAGCAGAGGCAGGCAGAACTCTGTGAGTTCAAGGCCAGCCTGGTCTACATTGCGAGTTCCAGGCCAGCCAGGGCTACAGGGAGACCCTGTCTCAAAAAGACCAAAAAACAAACAACAAAAACAAAAACCACAAAGGCTCCTTGCCCCACAAACCTTGGAACTATCTAAACACACTTCTTATCTGCAGAAATTATCAGACTGTCAAAAATATACTTAAATTCAATGTGACTCTCCAAGTATGAGGTTAGTAGAATTCCAAACTTTCTGGACTATAGACCTCTGCTACACACACTCTGAAAAATGCTGTTCCGTATCATTATCAAGAACGCCTAGAGCCTATTCCACCTCAATTCCAAGTACCTCAGCCAAACCACAAGGATAAGATTTTCTCATGTGCTGGAAGAACCTGGCATTCTGGAACACTCTCTACACTCTAGTCAAAATAGAACAGCCTCATTCCCTGTCTCAAGTATGTGTCTCCCCATACACATCTGAAATATTGGCTTACATGTGAAGTTTTCACCTAAGACATATTTACCTGCCCTGTGGATGTTCCAACTGCCATGGTCAAGGCGCCATTAAACTTCAAAGCAGAGATGGTGGGTAAGCTGTTTATCCTGAAAGGCAAAACATTCATACTCCATAACTACATGACCAAACCTCTAGGCAACATGTTCTTCACTTATGTTCACTTTAAATCTAACAAGGAAAATCATATTTTTAGCCATTTGTTCATAGTATAATTGCATCCAAAATTTCCTAAGCAAAATGAAAAATACATTTCACATATATAATCTACCTTTATCTCATTTTATTTGGACAAGATAGTTTTCAGAAACATCTTGTGTGTGTGTGTGTGTGTGTGTGTGTGTGTACAAAGAGGAAGCTTTTTGCCCTGAGGGGACAGAGGTAGAGAGAGAGAGAGAGAGAGAGAGAGAGAGAGAGAGAGAGAGGGAGAACATGTATGGATATGGAGGTCAACATTAGGCGTCTTCCTTAATTGCTCTCCACATTCCTTTTTCAGATGGAGGCGGTATGTGCTGATTTGACTAGACATGCTGGCAGCAGTGTCCAGGAATCCTTCTTTTTCCACCACTCCAGCTCTGGCTTCACAGGTGAGTGTTGTTGTTCTGGGCTTTTTACATGAACGCTGGAGATCTAAACTCAGGTCATGGAGGGGAAGCAATCTGTTTAAAGAGCCATCTCCCCAGCCCTAAAACATCCCTTTTACTCAAGGGAAACGTTGGGCATGAGTATACTTATTTACATTTTTAAAACTTCTTCCATGAATAAAGAAAAAAATTAGAAACCAAAAATAAAAAACTAATGCCCAAAGAGAACCCTAGGATCTCTTAAATACTGAAGGAAGAACTAAGGGTATGTCTACAACTCTAGAAGATGCTTCTCACGCACCAACCAAGAATATCAGCACCCAAAGCTCCAGGATGGAACAAGTGAGAGACACTGGGTCAGAAGCTGACAACAGCTGGGAGTGGTCGTGTGTGCCTGTAATCCCAGCTTTCAGGAGGCTGAGGGAGAGCTACAGTGAGATCACGACTCACAAAAAGAAGTGGACAAGAGCTCTGCTTCCAGTACTTATGATCCACATACAGTTGTCAGGGCTCAAGGCAAGGATGACAGCTGGAGCATCATTAAGCCTCTTCTGCCACCTAAAGTCTCAGGCTGGAGCTGCACTGAAGCAGCCACTGGAACTGAGGCCTCCGGTCCACATGGTTTCAGCCACTCTTCAAAATGAACTTGAGAGTAATCCATAGTAATATTTTTCCTACTTCTTCAAAGTTTCTTTTGTTTTGTTGTTTGTTTTGTGTTGTGTTTTGCTATTTTTGAGACAGGATCTCCCTGTAGCCCCAGCTGCCTGGAACTTGCTACGTGAACCACAGACATCCTCTACCTACCTCCTGAATGCTGGGATTAAAGACATGTACCATCACACCTCACTGTCAAATTTATTTCTTAATGAAATTTTATCCCTTTATTCAGACAGATAAATTAATACTTCAGTAATATTACAGTTTATGCTGGTATGAGTACTTTGGTTCACTACATCTTTCTAATAGGTCACTGAATACCTAAGTGCAATTAAGGTTATTGATATTTGCACATTTATTTAATAGTTAATTTTTCTCATATTAGTTCTTCCAGGTTTTCAGGTAATTCTATTGAGTTTCTCAGGCAGACAATATTTCATTAATAAATAATGACAGTCTGCTTCCTCTATCCAATGTTTGCATTCTTTCTCTACCTTCTAGAATCTATTAAATAACAGAAGTGATAGGCTACAAGGTTTTTAGGGAAAAAATAAAGCTAGGCTGAGTGTGGTGACATTCTTTAGTCCCAACACTCAGGAGGTGGATTTCTGAGGCCAGCCTGGTCTATGTGGAGAGTTCCAGCCCAGCCAGAGTTCAAAATCCTGTCTCAAAATAAAATATAAACAAACAATTGAAGCTGCATCAGGAAGGACTACTTTTAATAAATATGCCTCTGAAACATACTCCCAAAGGCTGAATATGGAGTATGCCATTCACTGATGTGTATGTTTCATCTAGAAAACAGATGAGATGGACAGGATCTAACGAAAGGTCACTGTCCTAGCCGTAAAGAACTAACACAAGTCTCTGGAAAATATAAAGCACTATATGTGGTGGGTGTGGTGGTATACATCTGTAATTCCAGGACCAGGGAGGCAGGAGGATTAGGAATTCAAAGCCATTCTCAGCTATGTAGTGAGTTCAAGGCCAGAGTGAGCTACAAGAGAGCTTGTCTCAGAAAAAAAAAAAAAAAATCAAATAAAACAAAAATTTAAAGTATAAAAAGAGAAAAAAAAATCACGCTCTGTTAGATATTATTTTTAACAAGCTTAATTTAATAGTTATCCTCTGGTTCTTTCTAAAAACGATAAAGCTGAATGTGGTGGCTCTATGCCTACTAAGGTCCCAGCTACTCAAGAGACTAGGATAGAGGGATTTCCCAAACACAAGAGTGCTAGGTTAACATGGGAAATAAGCAAGACTGTATCTCAAATAAATATACATACATACATACATACATACATACATAACCAGGGGTCACAGTAGGTAAAGGCACTTACTTCCAGGCCTGACAATCCCCAGGATCCACATGGTGGAAAGAGTATCAACTTTTCCAGAACCCATGATTCCAGCCCCAGAACCCATGTTTAAAAAAGCCAGGTATGATGGCATGCACTTGTAACCCCAGCACTGTAGAGGTGCAGGCAGGATTGCTGGGGCTGCTGACCAGCCAGCCTAGCCTAATTAGCAAGTTCTGGGCCACTAAGAACCTGAGGGGGTTGGGGGAAGATGAACTGCAATTGAGAAAGAATACCTAAGGTTGTCCTCTGGCCTCCACACACATGTGCGCACACACACAAGGGAAGGGAAGGGAAAAGGGAAGGGAGGAGGGGGGAGGGGAGGGGGAAGGAAAGAAGGAAGGAAGGAAGAGAAAGAAAGGAAGGAAGGAAGGAAGGAAGGAAGGAAGGAAGGAAGGAAGGGAAAAAAAGTGGTGAGTGCCTGCTACCGTCAAGGACAGTGAGAGTGTAAATTCTAAATCGGCTAAGATAATTTTTTTTCATAGTTCTTCCTTAAATTTTCTATAGTGCTAGGTCTCCTATACCCACAAAATTCCTAATAGAACTAGCCTTGAGATTTACTATAAGGGATTCTATGCATCTAGAGGTCAAAGCACAACTTTGTGGACTTGGTTCTCTCCTTCCACATTTATGTGGGTTTCAGGTATCAAACTCAAGTCATCAAGCTTCTGCAGGAAGCACTTTTACTCACTGAGCCATCTCACTGGCCTACATCTGTTTTCCTTAAATGGCTTTTCCAAGATGTGACACTGGTTAGGCGTGGTGATACACGCCTTTAATCCCAGCACTTGGGAGACAGAGGCAGGCGGATCTCTGAATTCGAAACTAGTCTGGTCTACATAAGTGAATTTCAGGTCAACCTGGGCCATATAGTAAGCCCCTGTCTTAAACAATAGTAAGAAAAACCCAAAGAGGTTAATGACAGGAAAGAGCAGAGCACACACACATCTATAATGTAATTCAAAGGCAAGTCAATGTTTAAGAATGAGAGAAAACTAACCTCTCTATTTCCTAGGAAATGGGCAAGTATCTTTTTCTTTTTAACTTTTTAAAAAATTTTTATTATTTTTATTTTATGTGTATGCATGTATTGCCTGCACGTAGGTAAGTGCACCTGTGTCATGCAATGCCTGCGGATGTCAGAAGAGGCTGTAGGATCACCCCTGGGGCTGGAGTTACAGAGAGTTGTTAGCTGAATGGGCAAATAACTTTCCAAAAATATACTTATTTTTCTGATCCATTTTTCTTCATGCTAATAGGATAAAACATTACTATGCATTTTACATTGGTTTACATAGGAGTGAATTTTCTGACTTAAAGATGCTTAATATTCTCAACACTATACCATGATTAATAGTTTACTGTTTATATTACCTTAACATAAAACTCTATAATCGGGAGAAACAAATGTTCTTCTTATCACTTTAAATGTCATAGCTTAGAACTAAAAAAATTTATTCCCTACTTACCACATAGAGATACAATTATATATTAGACATTTATTTATTCATTCATTCATTCATACATTCATTCACTCATTTTGGTCTTTTTGAGACAGGGTCTTCCTGCAGCCCCAGCTGCCCTGGGACTCACTAGTAGACCAGACTGGCCAAGTGCTGGGATTAAAGGCATGCACCACCACACCTGGCTAGAAAGACTTGTTTTTCTAATTCAGTAGTTCTTGGTTTATTTTATTTGGAGTTGTTTTTGTGGTACCAAGGATTGAACCTGTGGCCTTGCACACAGCAAGGACTCTATCAATAAGCTACATCAGTTAACAGTAATTCTTAATTTTCTTTCAGGTGAAGGATGCTCCTATGAACAGATTTTTCAAAGGCCTTATGAATGCCCAAAAGAAATCACCAAAACTTTGTGACAATTTAAGAGGGTCCATGGTGTCTCTGCAGCCTGTCACCGCCATACACTGCCCCTTCCATATGATATATCTACAAGATAGGTATATAAATTCACTCTGATGTAGCCTGGCATAATGGCACACTCCTTTAAGTCCAGTACTTGGGAGACAGACAGATCTCTGTGGTCTATACAGTGAGCTCCACACCAGCCAGGGCTAAGTTAGTGATACCCTGTCTCCAAAAAAATGGGGGCAAGAGTGCGCTGGAGAGATAGCTCAGCAGTTAAGAGCACTGACTGCTCTTCTAAGACCTGGGTTCCGTTCCCAGCACCCACATGGGGCTAACAGTCATCTGTTACTCCAGTTTCTGGGCATTTGATGTCCTCTTCTGGCCTCCATAGGCACTGCATGCACATGCTGCACTTACATACACACAGGCAAAACATTAATACACATAAAATAATCAAAAAATAAAATAAATAAAATGAGGTACTGAGAAAACCAGAGTGTTGTGAATATTAAGAGTACAGGGAACAGCTATTTCTGAACTGACTGAAGCAAATAATCCTAAGGTAAAGATGTGGCCAAGAGTGACCTGCCTAAGCATTCTCAAAGAAAAACATCTGAAGGGTAAGTAACCCATCAAATCATCACTGCTCTGGTGAAAGGGAGAAAGGGCCAAGATAGTTTCTTCTTACTTAATTCAAGCCTCTACTTTGTGTTACAGGTTTCCCTCCCCAAGTATGAACCACTTTTTAAATGATTTAAATGTAGACATCAGAGAAACAAGAAAAAAAAAAAAATCAAAAGCACTTGTTTCCCTCCACCCCAGCATTCAAAGCTTTCTCCTGCCTGCTGACTGAAGTAGTGGACCCCTGGTTCTAGCACTAGAGCCTACAGAATTGAAACATAAATTCCTACAATACACTTAACAAATTCCACAGCAACTAAGGAAATCTGCTATTCTGAATAGTACTAGAGAAAGGGATTCTATCTGGAATACCCTCAAGTATTGGCTTGGCTCTTACAAGAATTTTTATTTAAAACAATCACAGACACTACAACTTCAGATATAAGTCATGAAGAGTTTCATCCTTTAGCAATTAATTTAATTTTATATTGATCCATTGGCTTAAATTAAGAGGCTAATTAACAGTTACACTACAAATTAATGTCTACTCACTCTGAATCTGCTGTGACACTATTTAATGCACAGTCTAACACGCCAACTCTGCTTCTTACTCTCGGGTCCCAGCATTCCACTCGACCCTAAACAAATGAAAAAGCAATTTAAATATTTTTTTTATTTTATGTGTATAAATGTTTTGCCTATATGTATGTAAGTGCATCTATGCATGCAATGCCCACTGGATCCCCTGGAATTGGAGGTCATCTCTCCAGCCCTGAAAACATTAATTTTAAATAAAAGCTACTAGTAGAAAAATTTTCAAACATAAACCTAAAATAAACTTTATTATCACTGATTATCTCATATAGAATAAAAGCTTAACATTTTACCTGTAACCATAGTATTGTAATGTTTTGCTGTGAGGTGATTTTCTTTTATAGTTAGGAAAAGAAAAAAAGGCTGGAGATGGCTCAGTGATTAAAAGCACTGGCTGTTCTTGCAGAGGACCCAGGTTCAGTTCCCATCCCCCTTATGGCAGCTGACAACCATCCTTAACTCCAGTTCCAGGGGATCTAACACCGTCTTCTGACTTCAACAGGCATTGCAGAACCCAAGTGCATTTACATACATTCAAGGCAAAACACTTATACACATAAAATAAGAATGAATAAATCAAAAAAAAATTTTTTAACTAGTAATGAATAAGTCCAAAATGTATATATGACCCTTGACTAGACCTTGGATTGGATGTTGTGCAGGGAGAGCAATAAGATATTTTGATATAACTGAGAAACTTAAATATTATCCCATATTTTATATAAATTATATCAATGTTAAACTTCTTAAAAACAAAATTATTGCAAATTCATGCAGAAAGGCCTTGTGGTTTTGTCTGTTAAGTCGGTTTAACAGGATCTCATTATGTTGTCCAGGCTGGCTTTGAATTCCTGAGCTAAATAAAGGAAGCCTCCTACTTCAGCCTCCTGAGAAGCTAAAACTACAGATTAAAGTCTCTGCCTTTATTTTTACTACTTTTTAATTTCTTATTTTTTGAGATAAGGTCTTATATAGCCAACACTGGTCTGGAACTCCTGATTCTCCTTCCTCTATCTCCCAGGTGCTAGGATTACAGGTGTGTGCTGCCACACCAGGCTTCAGTTCTTACTTTGAAGAATTACATTTTAAATATTTAGGGGTGAAATGCCACACTAAATAAATGTTCATGACCTTATTTTCAAATTGTTCAAAAAATTTTTTTAAATATACAAACATTTCTATGAAAAAAAAAGTGTGTAAAATATGATTACTGAGTTATTCTGATGTTTTTAACTTTTTTTTTTTTTTTTTTTCGGTCTTTTTGAGACAGGTCTCCCAGTAGCCCCAGCTGGCCTGGAACTCACTATGTAGACCAGGCTGGCCTTGAACTCACAGAACTCCACCTGCCTCTGCCTCCTGAATGCTGGGACTAAACGCATGCATTACCATGCCCAGCTGTTTCCAATGTTTCTTAAGGTGTAATATTTGTTTTTTTTTTTAAATATATTAAAGGCTGAGTATTTATTTTGGTGCTGTGAGGAACCCAGCCTAGTGCCTCACAGTGCTATGCAGGAATTCTATTAGTGAAGCATATCCCCATCCCTGCCAGGAAATCTTTTTTTTTTTTTTTTTTTTCCTCAATAGGTTTTATTTTTAATTACATGCATGTATGTCTGTGCATGTGGATGCAGGTGCCCTCAGAGGCCCGAAAAGGGGGTTAGAAGAGCTGGAGTTACAGGTGGATATAAGCCACCCTAAGCGTGTGCTAGGAATAAAACTTGGATACTCTATAAGGACAGTTCATGTTCTTAACCAAGGAGCCATCCCAGAAATCTTTTTTTTTTTTAAATGGAAAACAGAACTACAGGCCTGGCAAGATGGCTCAGTGAGTAACAGAGCTTGCTGCCAAGACTGACAACTTGAGTTCAATCCCAGGGACCAACATAATGAAACAAGAGAACCAACTCCCAATGTTATCTCCACATGAGCACTGTGGCAAATACACATACACACACAAAAGAAACATACATAAATAAAATTTAAAAAGAAAATCAGAACTGCAAACAAATGTGACATGTTTTTAGAACGTCAACATAATGGCCTACCTCTATTGTTCCTGTGGCAAACAATCCATGCACTACATTAATGTCACAAACATTGTTCTCCCTAAAACAGTAAAGCAACATGGAAGAAAAGTATTAGGTAGAATTTACTTGGGGGAAGCAGGATTCAAAAAACTTTCTACATCCACAGCCATCCAAACTCTGTGGAGACAGAAAGCAAGCAGACTCTAATTCATCTACAACAAAAATCATGGAGGCATGGGCGAGTCAAGGGCTTGGCTCAGCCAGAAGAGCTTCTGAAACCTAAGGTGACACTGCCTGCCTGGTACCAGATAAGGAAAGCCTCCTTCAGAAACCCATTCCACCAAGAAAAGGCTGTTCTGTTTTCTTCCAAGGCAAGGCTGCATTGTTAAGAACACAGACCATCACTATAGGGATCTTGAGACAGGCATAGAAACAAAGTCTCACTTTCCTATTCTGTAAAGACCTCATTGGATTGTTGTGAGGATTAAATGAAAAAGACCACAATGTTTGACAGTGTCTACAGTATAGAAGATACTTAAAAAATAAGTTGTTATAAATAAGAAATTATGCAGCTACAGAGCAGGTTAACTTTTACAAATTTCTCTTAATGTAAAAACTTATTTTATGCACATGTTTTGCCTGCATGCATGTATTTAAGTGTACCAGGTGAGTACAGTGCCTACAGAGGCCAGAAGAAGGCGTCAAACCCCTTGGAACTGGAGTTACAGGTCATTGGAGCTGCCATAGATGCAGGGAACAGAACCCACGTCCTCTGCAAGAGCATCCAGTGCTCTTAACTGCTGAACCATCTCCAGCCTAAGTTACAAGTTTTTAAAAATAAAAATATTTGAAGCCAGGGTGAACAAAACTTTGGCCAGTATGTACTTTGTTTTTTATTACTACATGTTATTCTTTAAGAATCCTCTTGAGGGGCTGGGAAATGGCTCAGAGGTTAAGAGCATTGACTGCTCTTACAGAGGATGGGTTTGAATCCCAGCATCTACATGGCAGCTAACAACTGTCCATAACTCCAGTTCCAGGGGATCTGACACCCTCTTCTGTCCTCTTTGGGTACTGCATGACATGAGTACACTTACATACATGCAGGCAATACAGTCATACACATAAAAATAAATAAAATTTAAAGAAAAAGAGATGATTTTGATTTATTCAAATTAGTTTTTAAATTAAAAGAAACTTGTAAAAGTTACCTGCTCTGTTCTACTGAGGATCAAATCCAGGGCCTTATGTACACTGTACACACTGGAAGTCTTGTTTAAGAAAATAGTTAACGATCTCCAGAAAGCTGGCAAATGCAAACAAGTTATTTGATGGTAACTTGAGCATCTGGCTCTACCTCCTGATCAAAATAAATATAGCAATCCTACTAAAATTACTCACGCCGCATCAGTTTGGAGAGGATTCAGGTACCGTCCTTGTTCCAAATTTAATCTATAAACTTCAGAGCTGCAAAGTAGTAAAGAAAATCTGGTAAGCTTCAATGAAGTTTTTTTTAATATAAATTTTAGAAACATAGCCACAGCTAGCACTCATAAGCCATTACTTCTTTTTGTAAAACTGATCCATAAACTTACTCTTTATATTCACTTTATTAAGAATTTGCCACCGGGTGTGGTGGCATACACCTTTAGTCCCAGCACTTGGGAGGCAGAGGCAGGCAGATCTCTGTGAGTTCAAGGCCAGCCTGGTCTACATAGTGAGTTCTAAGCCAGCTGGGGCTACAGGGAGACCTGTCTGAAAAAGACAAAAAAAAAAAAAGTATAAGGCTGCCAGATTATTTTGTTTAGCCCTTGTTTCTAAGATGTATAACCTTCACTATAACCACGTATCATTTTATTAAGGATACGTAAAAGCATAAAATATACCAGTAATTTAAGAAGAAAAAGCAAAAAGCAATCCGAAATCCAATACATACCTTGCACCAACAAAGTACAAGTCACAGGAAGGATAGTGGTAGGAGAAGTCTCTGCCAAACTTAGGGATTCTAGTTTTGTAGTAAAAACCTGATTGTGAATGGAATTCAATATATCTGTCGTTATGTAAGAAGACAATCTGAAAATGAAACAAGAAAGTTAGTTTGCTTCAGTTTCATCCTCACTAAACTACTAAAGAAAGAAAAACTGATTTCTCACCCCTGTTCATTTTCTATATACATATATATAAACATACATGTGCACACATGTACACAAATTGCATAAAAATTTTTTTAATTCATTTTATTTTTATTTTATGTGTTACGAGTGTTTTGCTTGCAGTATGTCAGTACGCCTGTGTTGTACAATGGCCCCGGAGGCCAGAAGAGGGATCCTCTGGAATTAAAGTTACAGACAGTATGTGCCATGTGGGTGCTGGGAACTGAACCCAAGTCCTCTGCAAGAGCAGCCAGTGCTCCTAACAACTGAGCATCTCCCCAGCCCCAAAAATTATATAAATTTAACATACTACAAAGGTGTATGAAAAATCTGCAGATAGTAGTGAAATGCAAATTTATCAGTATTAAAGAAAATACATTACAATACCATATGTCCCCAAATATATGACACATGGCAAATGGCTACACCTGCCCCTCACAGTTCTCCAGAACCAAAGGCAATGGGTAAAGCCATGTCACCTACAGAATTCAACTCTCTTTCAAGCCATCACTAAAAATTTATTGTTTGTTTTGCTGAGTTGATTTTAACTGGTGCATAACTATACACATTGATGCTTCACATGATTTTTTCTTTTTCCTTTTTTTAAATTTTCATTTTAAATTGAATAAGGTCTTTTCTTATAATTTACAACTACTGCAAATAACTGCAAGAATTGCAAGATGGACCAATGGTACCAAGAAAAGAAAGAAATCTACTGTGCTGTGTTCTGAACTGTCAGAGTATGCCATCATCTTTTGATGAGTTAAGAGAATTGAACACACAATGGCTGGTTTACTTTTCTCAGATAAATAAGAAGATGAAAATAACCTGGCAAGTGAACCCAGGCTAAAGTTAATAATCAGAACCACAGACTGAGACCACAAGAAAGTCTAACAAAAGATGGCTGCTACCAATCGTTAAAAATACAGATAAAGCCAGGTATGGTGGCATATGCCTTTATTTTATTTTGTTTTATTTTATTTTTTTGGTCTTTTGAGACAAGATCCCCCTGTAGCCTCAGCTGGCCTGGAACTTGCTATGGAGACCAGGCTGGCCTTGATCTCACAGAGATCCTCCTGCCTCTGCCTCCAAAGTCCTGGGACTAAAGGTGTGTGCCAAAATAAAATAAGAAAAAAACCAAACAAGAATGCCTTTAATACCAGCACTTGGGAGGCAGAGGCAAGAGGATCTCTGTAAGATTGAGGCCAGCCTGATCTATATAGCATTATTATTATTATTGTTATTATTATTATTCAGATAAGGCACTGTACCATACGCAATACTAAGAACTGAGTTTGACAGCAGGCTGAGCAAAGACTCCCTCTGCTAATGTTTTTCTAAAAGACACTGCACATCATATACAAACCCAGCCAAACATTGTTGGAAATTATTTACTATCTTATTACTACACAGTCATTTGGCAATAGGAATATCATAAAAATATTCACTGTAAAAATAAATTCCCCTCACTCAAATATCAAGTATAGCAGTACAAGTCAATGATAAAAAACATACCTTTGAATAGTCATCAGATAAAATCTCAAAGGTGACAACTGAAAAATATCAATAGGAAAAATGATGCAATTATCAACCAGTGTACTAACAGAAATGCAAGCTTCATGAAAGAATGCTAATTCCACACAGAAACTATATGCGAATGCTATATTTTTCCTACCCCTACCCTACAGAAAACAAGAAGACTGTCACACTCCCACTAATACTAAATGAAAATTTCAGTGTTAGTTTCTAAACATACATCACCTAGATTTCTTACACAACCCAAGTAAATTCACAAACTATAGCATCTAAATTTTGCCACTGTTTTAATGAGATGTTCGAAATATTTAAGATTTTCAAATATAAATCAAAGAACATTCTTTAAAATTCCAGCACTCAGGAGGCAAAGTCAGATCTCTATGAATTCTACACAGTGAGTTCGAGGCCAGACAGAACTACATAGTCCAAAGGCCGGGAAGTGGATACACAGTAACTTTTTGTCTACACATAGCTTACCTGCTGAACAGAAATAAAAAGTGCTATTAATAGCACACAAAGTTTCTACTGCATCAAGAAGTGAAGAAGTAAAGGGTGGGACTGGGAGTGTATGCTCATAATTCTATAGAACACTGTATTCCACTAACTTCTGTCTCCTAAATCCTAAATGGAGGCTAACTGATAAACTTGGCCATTTTAACTTGCCTCTGAACTAGGCAGAATTCTGTCAATAACCTCATGACCATCACCCTTGTATAATGTTCCTTTTGTGAAAATATGGGTGAAGCCTGTGACTCACTGAAACCCTGCTTCCCAGAATTACGTTACCTTATATGTCAAAGGGGAGACAATCATACAAATTTCTTAAACTTCTTTTTTTGTTAATGTATGAGTATACTGCCTACATGTATTTAAGTGCACCCGTGTCATGCAATGCCCACGGAGGTCAGAAGGCATTAGATTCCCCAGCAACTGGAGTTATGGAAGATTGTTAGCTGCCATGTGGGTGCTGGGACTCAAACCCAGGTCCTCTGCAAGAACAGCCAGTGATCTTAACCGCTGAGTCATCTCTCCAGCCCCTCATACAAACTTCTTAAAAGTGTTTTCCAGCTCAGCATAGTGCTGGCAGCCTTTGTAAGCAAAGTGATTCCCAGCTGAGAGCCAGCCTGAAGGGGTACCCCACTCCTAACCCCACAGCTCCAACAACCTAGAAGCAGACTCTCGACCAGCCTTAAAGACAAGAGCCCACCTGGCTGACCCACCAAGAGTTGCCCTGAGCAAAGAACATAGCCCAGCCTGCATGGACTTATAGTCAGCTAAGTGGAACATCATGTTTACACTAAATTATTCTATAATGACTAAAACCTAATATACAACCCATTCCCACTTTAAAAAGCAGCAACAAACATAAAGAGCTATGTTTATGAATTAAAAGCCAGCTTCTTACCTTCTGAATCTAAGCACCTTTCAAACTTCAAGGATAATTGATAGGTGTCATAACATCTAACCCGAGGTTTATAAGTTCCTACAAAAAAAAATATATATATACTTTTCATAGCCAAGATCCTGCAGAACTTCTGGGTATACCTTTTGTTCTGAGGTAGGTTAGATTAATTAGCACCATATCAAAGAAACAGCAGACACACACATACCAAGGAGAAATGAGCAAAGGATAAACAAGCATTCACACAATGGGATATAAATGCTGAGTAAGACTTACAAATAATCCAATAAAAGTAGGCAAAAACAATGAAATAGTTTGCCCAGGAGAGTAGGAAAGATAGAAAAGACAGTTAATATCTGTGTTGGTGAAAGGTTAAAAATTACTCTTCTACACTGTTGGTAAGTATTGACTGACACAAGCTTTGAGGTTCATCTGCAATTACCAGTGAGATACATGAGAAAAAAGTACCTTGATATTTCAAATCATACAAATTGTGGATTTACACAAATAGCTACAAATATACCAAAGATAGGAAGATTGTTCACTACAGCATGTCTATACATGGCCAGAAACTAAAAGCAAACAGATGTCCACTGAAAGAAGATGGGAAAACCATACAGGAAACATAGAGATGAGCAGACTTGTAGCTTCCACCAATGACAAACCCCAAAATGTACTATACATTCATTTATCATTTGTGTGTGTGTGTGCGCGCATGCGGGTGTGTGTGTGTGTAAATCAGAGGGCAAGTTTCAGGAGCTAGTTCTCTCCTTTCACCATCTGGGTTCCAGGGATTGAACTCAGGCCATCAGGCTTGGCAGCAAGTACCTTTACTGGCTGAGCCATCTTGCTGGGCCCCAAAGTGTATTATAAATAGCAAAGAATTGAGAGACCATCAGAGGGCAAGTTTCAGGAGCTAGTTCTCTCCTTTCACCATCTGGGTTCCTGAGCCATCTTGCTGGGCCCCAAAGTGTATTATAAATAGGAAAGAATTGAGAGACTAGAGGCGAGGGCTACAGAACAGTGCATATGAACCCACTTCTTTAAAGCTAATGTTGGCACTCTGTATAGGAACAGTGGACAGAGTAAGAACAAAGGCACAGTGACTACCTCCACTAAGTGCAACTTTGAGGACTCTGACATTGTGTGTTATATACTTCTATGTTTGCATCTTATATAAATTTATCATGCTTACAGTGAAGAAAATATAAACTTTTAAAACCAAAATATGACATAATTTAAAAAAATAAGCAGTTGTTTTCTAGCATGGGTCAAAGCCCAAGATTTGAGTTATAAAGGATTAGAATCAATAAATATGCTGGCACAGTGATATGTACTTGTAATCCCAAACTTGGGAGGCTGAGGCAGAAGGAACAAGCCCTAGGCCACAAAGGAGTTCCAATATCCAAAGCAACAGGAGAGCAACCTCTTCCCCACCCAAACAGCATATACACCTGAGCCCCTGTTGCTGAGGTGGGATGGAGGGCCTTATGTAAAACTACTGATATATATAGGACCTTAGTTCCTGTCTTGTTTGGGGTTTTATTTTTCCTTTGAATTTCTGCATTGTCTACAAGGTTTAATTGCATTATCTTGATCCTCAGGAAAAAGAAATGTGGCAAAAATATAAAAATGTATAAAATCAGCACCTCTATTTCTTGCTTTTTCATCCCTAAGTATTAGTAAAGTCCAACAATATAATATATTTGAGCCGGGCGTGGTGGCACACGCCTTTAATCCCAGCACTTGAGAGGCAGAGGCAGGCGGATCTCTGCGAGTTCAAGTCTACATAGTGAGTTCCAGGACAGCTGGGGCCCCAGGGAGACCCTCCCCCAAAAAAAAAAAAAAAAAAAAAAAAAAAAAAAAGAATATATTTGAGGGCTGCGGACACAGCTCAGTTGGCAGTGTTTCCGCTGCAGTCATGAAAACCTGAGTTTGATCCCTACCACTGAAAAAAGGAAAAGAAAGAACAGATTTGAATCTGCCATGGTCATATACTGAATGCTTCCAAAAGAAACCAAGAGACTGCTTAGTTCTGTAACAGAACAACAGTCAGCGCATGCCCTGGATCCTGGAGTAGTCGATTTCTTCAACTAGACTAAAATACCCCCAAGAACAAATTATTTTAGCCAACTTGTTTCTAGCCAGGAGTCCTAGAACAGTGACAGAGATCAAGGCAGTGGCAGAAATCAAGACAGAGGTGAAAGGAATAACTACAGAATTAAGTGTCGAGCAAGTGACACCCTAAGTCCACATGTTCTACCAACTCCTAAGAAAGACCCCTAAGGAAGGTAAATCAGAAGGACTGCACTCAACTGTATAGTATAGGATGGAGTCACTAGTCATGTGTGGCCATTTAAATTAAAAGTAATTAGAATTAAAAGTTTCAGGGGCTAGAGAGATGGCTCAGCAGTTAAGAGCACTGGCTGTTCTTGCAGAGGACCCAGGTTGGGTTCCCAGCACCTACACAGTGACTAACAATTGTCTGTAACTCCAGTTCCAGGGAATCCAACACCCTCTTCTGACCTCCTCGGGCACTGCATGATTTGGTGCACTTACATACATAACAGACAAATGTGCATACACATAAAATAAAAATAAATAGATCCTCTTTTATCAATGTTTAATCAGTGACTCACTACCAATGTTTCACATATTCTTTTTTTTAATTTTATTTATTTTATGTGTAGGCATGTATTGCCTGCGTGTAGGTAAGTGTACCCATGTCGTGCAATGCCTGCAGAGGACAGAAGAGGCTGTCAGATCCCCTGGGACTGGAGTTACGGACAGTTGTTAGCTGCTATGTGGGTGCTGGGATTCAAACCTGAGTCTTCTGCAAGAACCACCAGTGTTCTTAACTGCTGAGCCATCTCTCCAGCCCTGTTTCACGTATTCTTAATAAAAATATTCTTTTTAACATAAAAATAAAACCAAATGATTTTGAGTAAGGAAGAAAGGAATTTCTTTTGTCTGGGAGTAGAGAATGACTTCATAAAAGAAAATCTAGTCTAATAGATTTAACCTTTCACTTAATCTATACCCTAGCACACTTGGGCACTATATCTGTCAGCTTAGACAAGTTCACCATTCAATATCTCTGTATCTTGAAGACAAAAAATTGAATTAGAGGCCTAAGTTCTTTCCAGCCTTCAATGATTGTGTCTACACCTTGGATCTCCTCAATCCTCCTTACCAGCTTCTCAAGATAAAACCAGAGGCTAAAAAACATGGATGGTGTCAGTACTACAACAGCCATTAAAACAGAACAAAGGGGCCTACTGTATCCTGATCCTCTATACCCAGGCCAGCTCAGTTCTCCAGCTTAGTTTGTTAGACCCTCCACAGCCTGTCCCCAACCTCTCCTTGCCCTTGGCCTCCTGGATCTGCCTGCCATAGACCTGCCTAGTATCTTGACAAGTATACTGTATACCACTCATCAAAGAAGCTTCTTTTTACAACAGATGGAGGCTATTACAGAGTTTCACAACTGGTCACACACAAAGAATCTATGCCTGAGCAATGCCTAGGCCTAAGAGATACATCTACAGTGGAACCCTCATGGAATATAGCAGAACACAGGGTGGAGAGAATACTAACGCATCCCTCAACTTCTCACCAGCGAAGCTGCCTCATGTAACAGAGTATAATGTACACAGACGGCCACAACTGGCCACGTTTTAGAGAATAAGAGAATGCAGAGTGTATGTCTCTGGATAGGACTCCTGTATTAAACCTCACTCACCCATAGCTCAGAGACCATTGTGGAAGAGGAGGTGCAAAGACTGTAACAGCCAGGACTGGTGTGAGTACATAAGGAAACAGAGGCTTTGACGTCTCTGGGAACTTGCTCGTATAAACTTACAAACAAGGGTGACAGCATGCACAAGACCCATGCTGACTCAATCAGACAAAATTCTAGCGTAGAACTGGGGAAATGGGTAGCAGGTCCTAACCTTAGCCGAACAACTCTTGGCAAGTGATTACTATGGGGTGAGTGAGAGTAGATCTTCTTTTAAGGGAGTGACTAGACTCCAGGTGGACGAATTTGCACTAAGGGACATCTGGGTACAAAAGCTTGAGTAGACAGGCCTTAACATATATGATAGAATGCATAAAATCCGGTGGGGGAAAGGGGTCATGGAGGGGAGGGCAGATGGGGGAAGGTGGTCTATATTATATGTAAAGCACAAAAACTCAATAAAAATCTTTAAAAAAACAGCACAGGGGCTGGAGAGATGGCTCAGTGGTTAAGAACATTGGTTGTTCTTGCAAAAGACCCGGGTTTGAATCCCAGCACCCGCAAGGCAGCTAACAACTGTCCGTAACTCCAGTCGGGATAATAATAGCGACATTGCAGGAACATTTGAATCAACAACAAATGTGCAGTTTTTGTCACTTATTTTTGAAAAAAAAAAAACACTTCAAAACAAAACTAAACAAAACAAAACAAAAAACAGCACAAGGGGCTGGAGAGATGGCTCAGAGGTTAAGAGCACTGACTGCTCTTGCAGAGGACCCAGGTTTGATTTCCACATGGTGGTTATCAACTGTCCTTAACTCCAATTCTAAGGGAATCTGAAGCCCTCCTCTGACCTCCATACCATTGCACATCATGGGTGCACTCACATACATGCAGGCAATACATTCATAGACATTAAAAAACAAAAAAAAAACAATAGCACAAAAGAACTGGGTAGGCGGGAAGGTGTTAAAAGAGAGTGGAATGAAACCTGGTACGGTGGCAGCTACCTGCAATCCCAGCACATGGGAAATTGAGGCAGGAGGATTATGAGTTTGATGCCAGCTTGGGATATACACAGTGAGACCCAAAAATAAATAAGCAAGCTGGTATCTGCAATTTGCTCTGAAACTCATTTTTTAAAAAACGGAAAAACAGACATGCGATAAGCAAATACAGTAAATTATTTGGTGCAGGATTGAGGTAGATATATAGATGTTCACTTAATTTTTAAAAATTTTTACTTATTAATTTTTGCTTTCTGTGTTTGAGTGTTTTGCCTTCATGCTGCAAAGGCCAGAAGGGGTATCAGATCCCCGGGACTAGAGCTATGAACAGTTGTTAGCCACCAAGCAAATAATGGGAACCAAACCCAGGTCTTCTGGAAGAAGAACCGGTGTTCTTCACCACTGAGCCATCTCTCCATACTCTCATTTAATTTTTTTCAGTATTTCTGTATGTTTAAAGTATTTAGAATAAAGTCAGGCATGGTAGCACATGCCTTTAATCCCAGCACTGGGGAAGCAGGGGCAGGTGGATCTCTGTGAGACTGAGGCCAGGCTGGTCTACAGAGTAATTCCAGGCCAGTTGTAGCCACAGGGAGACCCTGTCTCAAAAAGACCAAAAAAAAAAAACAGAAAAGAAATTTTTATAATAAAATATTAGGGTAAACAAAAAAGGTGACTTTCCCTACCAAAGCATGAAATACACACAAATCACAACCATAAAAATACTTACCAGTTGCTAAAATATACTGCCCATCTTTTGACACCTTGATTGTAGTACACACAGTAGGCATTTCAAAATCCTGAATAAGTTCAATTCTCCTACGAACATCTACAAAGAGAGAAGAGGAAAAAAAACAAAAACAGTTTAACTTATGCATCAGGAGGAGAGAGCAAGCCACACCAACACAGCAACTACTGTAAGCAGCATGTGACCCAAAGGGAAGAGCAGCAGCACAGCCCACCCCCAGCTTTTCTCTTGGCTCATACAGTAGTTCTCAGCTATGTGTTACAGTTTGGATCTGAAATGGCCCCAGAGGCCCAAGTTTTGAAGGTTTGGTCTCCAAGCCACAGTGTTATTGGGACTTGGTAGAAAAATCCAAGAGGTGGGGCCTCATGAGGTCTTAAATCTCTGCAGCCATGCCCTCAAAGGAGACCATGGGACACTCATTTGCTCCTGGCTCCTTTTTGTTTCTTAGATGATAAAGATAAGCAGTTCTTTCTACCATGAGCTCCCACCATGATGAGCACTGCCTTACCACAAGCCCAAAAGCAACAAGATGAGTTAAGCATAGACTAAAACCTTCAAAACTAGGAGGCAAAATAAACCTTTCCTCTTTTTGTTTATCTCAGGTATGGGATATAGGAAAGCTAATATATCATGTTTTCTTTTCTTTTTTTTTTTTGGTCTTTTTGAGACAGGGTCTCCCTGTAGCCCCAGCTGTCCTGGAACTCACTATGTAGACCAGGCTGGCCTTGAACTCACAGAGATCCACCTGCCTCTGCCTCCCATTATGTTTTCTTTTAAAAAGAAAAAGTATCTTCATTAACTGAAAAATATCCACAATAATATATCAAGTATACAGGATGTTGTTTTGTTTTGTTGAGACAGAGGCTCACTAGGCCCTGGCTGGCCTAGAACTCGATTTGCAGAACAGACATCCTGCCTCCCAGGTGCTGGGATTAAAAGCATGCACCACCACACCCAGCAAATACAGAGTTTTAAGACCTGGATGAAAAAGGAACAGAAAAAACATTAAACTTTTTTTTTTAAATCACTAATTATAGCTGCAACAAAAATCATAGTAATTTTTTCTCCTAAACAACACTATGTTTAATCCTACAAAATCTTAGGCTTATATAAGAAATTAGGATTAGGTTGACTTTTGCCTGTTGGCTCCACCTCTCCATGCAACCTTTGGAGACTACAACATTAATACATACTCTCATAGAAACCCATTTTTTCCAACAAGACAAAGATTCTGGCTGTTTGCTACATTAACAACTTGACTACTGCAAAGACTACTTATCTACAACATGGCCTTGTATATGAAACCCAAATATTAAGATACCAGGAATGTCTGGGGATGTAGCTCAGTGGTAGAGGGCATACACACCATGTGTGAGGTCCTTGGTTCAATACCTGGCAGCACAAAAAGCAACAGAAAATCAAAGATCAAGCCAGGCTTCGTGGTACATGCTTTTAATCCCAGTACTCAGGAGGCAGAGGTAGGTAGATCTCTGTGAGATCAAGGCCAGTCTTGTCTACACAGTGAGTTCTAGGCCAGCTGTGGTTACAGGGAGACGAAAAAAAAAAAAAAAAAAAAAAAAAAAAAAAAAATCAAAGACCAAACCTCTCAAATTAGTAAATACATACTAGTCCTCAGTGGATTGAGAGAATAATCAAGAAACATTTTCTTCCCATAAATAATGTGAATCCATTTTGTTATACATAACACTTGAAGGGGTGAATCAGGTATGAATCTATAAACTCTTAAAACAGCAATGTGTTTCCTTTTGATTTAAGTCTCAGTTTCTAACTATAGTACAATATAAAGCCTATTTGATCTTAACCTCACATCCAGAAACCTTTCAGTGCTTGGTTTTTAGAGACTAAGTACATAAATATATAAGAAGTCTTCTTTCACCTATGATGACCTGGAATGGAAAAAACTTAATGAAAGTATACGCATCAAAAACAGTTAGGTTACCAAATAATCTTACTTTTCTGGGCCTCTTGTCGTCTTGCTGAGTGTGGCAAGACTGCAAAGCTCTGATCACTTGTTTACCTGAGCCATTTCTCAGGGTTACCTAGGCAGCTGGGAACTCTGACAGATGAGGTCACATGACAGCAGGCCTGTTTACTATCTGCTAAGAAAGCAATGGGCTTCCTATCACTGGGCTCCTCCCCTGAAACACAACCCACTGTGCACAGTTTCATCCCGCCACACTGAGCACTTGCATGGGACTCAAGGAACAACTGGGCACAAACATGCTGATGCTTGTGCCATGTGTGCTGTGCCATGAGAAATAAATCCTTTGTCTCTGACCCAGGAGCCTTGCTGCCACCTAGGAAATGGGGAGAAACTAAGACATTAGCATGAAAGTAAGATAAAATTAAGTTCTACACTTACCAGGAACATTAGCAACCTCAACAAAAGGATTCTTTTTTAAAAAAAAAAATTTTATTTATTATTTTTATTTTATGTGTATGAGTGTATTGCTTGCATGTAGGTAGGTGCACCCATGTCATGCGATTCCCAAAGAGGTCAGAAGAGGGCGTCAGATCCCCTGGAACTGGAGTTACAGATGGTTGTTCGTCACCATGTGGGTGCTGGGAATCAAACCTGGGTCCTCTGCAAGAGTAGTAAGCGCTCTTAACAACTGTGCCATCTCTCTAGCCCCAACAAAAGGATTCTTAAAAATAGAAGGGGACAGGCTGGAGGGATAGTGCAGCTGTTAAAGGCTAAGACTAACAACCAAAAAATAGAAGGGGCAGGGGCTAGAGAGACAGCTCAGCAGTTAAGAACACTGGCTGCTCTTGCAGAGGACCCAGTTTGGTTCCTAGCCCCTACATGGTGGCTAACAACGATCTGTAACTCCATCTGACATGCTCTTCTGGCCTCCATGGGCATTGTATGACATGATGCACATATATACATGCAGACAAAATCACTCATACACATAAAATCAAAATAAAAAAATTTATATTAAAAAGGGGGGGCAGGAACTGGAGAGATGGCTCAGCAGTTAAGAGCACTGGCTGCTCTTACAGAGAACTTGAGTTTGATTCCCAGCACCTATATGGTGGCTATCAACTATCTATAACTCCAGTTCCAGAGGATCCAATACCCTCTTCTGGCCTCTGTGGACACTATATGCACATGATGCACTTGTATATATGCAGGCAAAACACACACATAAAATAGATTTTAAAAGTTAAAAAGAAAAAAAGAGAAAGGGGAAAAGTGCTTATTTCCCATTTTATTAATCACACAGCTCAGATATTTAACCACAGATGACTGAGGCAATTGTAACATGGGCCATGGACGCAGCTGAACAGAAATAACAGCAACTACTCACCAACATCTTTCTTCTGCAATGCTCTCTTCTTCCTGTCAGAAAGCCACTAAAAGAAAACAGAGAGACTTCATTTTAAAAGAACATACCTAAACTGTTTCTACTTGCAAAATAATAAAATTCATTTTAGAAAATTCAAGTTTACAGATACTGAGAAGATAGAAAATTGAAATATTCTATAATCTTAACTCTACTGTTAACATATTCCCTGGATTCTTTTAGATCCTTATATACACTAGACAAATTTTTTGAGCACCTGTTTTACAAAAGATAAAACTAAGGACTGGAGTGATGGCTTAGTAATTAAGTATACTTGCTGTCCTTCCAGAGGACCTGGGTTCGATTCCCAGCACCCACATGGTGGCTAACAACTATTTGTAACTCCAATTCTAGGGGATCTGACACCCACTTTTGGCCTCTGCAGGCAGTGCATGCATGTGGTACACTTACATACATGCAGGCAAAACACTCATATACATAAAATAAAAATGATAAAATATAAGCAGGGCATGGAGGTGCACCCCTTTGATCCTAGCACTCCAGAGGCAGAGGCAGAGGCAGACGAATCTCTGTGAGTTCAAGGCCAGCCTGGTCTACATACTGAGTTCCAGACCAGCTGGGGCTATAGGGAGACCCTGTCTCAAAAGACCAAAAATATAAATAAATAAAATATTTTTTAAGAAACTAATTCATGTCAGGCATGGTGGCGCACGCCTGTAGTCCCAGCACTTGGGAGGCACAGGCAGGCAGATATCTGTGAGCTCAAGGCCAGCCTGGTCTACACGATGAGTTCCAGGACAGCTGGGGCTATAGGGAGACCCTGCTTCAAAAAGACAAAAAAATAAAAAATAAAAAATAATTCATGGGCTGGAGAGATGGCTCAGCGGTTAAGAGCACTGACTACTCTTGCAGAGGACCTGGGTTCGATTCCCAGCACCAGAATGGCAGCTACAAACCATCCTTGACTCCAGTTCCAGGGGAATTTGAAACCTTCTTCTGACCTCCACCGCATTTCATGACACAGGTGCATTCACATACATGCAGGCAACACACTCATACACATAAAAATAATAAATAAAATATTTTTTTAAAAACTAATTCATTTAACTGAGCTAAGGGAATGCAATAGCCCTCCAAAATGGGTTTTAATTGATATATGAACACCTATATCTGAGTGAGAAAGAAAAAGAGTTGAGACAGAGACAGATACTATGTAGCTATGTAGCCCAGACCCATCTCTTCCTGACTCAGCCTCAAGCACTGAGATTTATAGGTATGTGTCACTACACCACATAAAAAAAAATTTTTTTACAAAGAATAATTCCAGATAAAGAACTGGCTTAACAGCTGACACTAAGTGGTATATTTTAATCATTACATCACTGACAGCAGGCTATTCTGTAGGCAGCAAAGGAATGAACAGCAACAATGATGAGGCACTGTTAATTATAATGATTCTAAATAGATGGGTCTCTACTGGGGTCATTCTGCTCTCCAGGGGACCTCCAGCAATTCTTCAGGATGTATTCAGTCACCACAAATGGTAGTTGTAATCCTGGCATCTAGTGGGTTTGGGCCAGAGATGCTGCCAAACAACTGTCCAGCTCAAAATGTCAGTAAAAGTGAGGTTAAGAGCCCCACAGGAATGAAAGGAAAATAAATATTTCTAAAGGGGCAAAGCTAATGTACTACCCTTACCAGACATGGCACAATGACCTTTAGAAGACCCTAGGAAGGACAGTGAGACTGTGTCTACAATGGAATGGGATAACACTTGAAGACTCTGGGGTTGGGCCACAGCTGCCCCTACCCTTGTGTACAGCTGACTCACAGGCAGATGCTACGCTTTATGACTGCATTGCTCTCACTGTACTTCAGCGGGTAAGACTTCAGTTAAAGAGCATGCAAGAGTAGTTCCTAGGCATTCTGTATGTTCGTTCACATTAACCTAATACAAGTAGAACAAAGGGATTTTACAGTGTTTTCTCATTAATGCAAAGGTCTAATTCCTCTTTCCAGGAAGTTATGGTTAAGAATAGGGACATTCACATCATCATGAATCCCTCCATCCTGAGCAAAAGGAGCAAAGAGAAGAAAGGTTTACTTTTCTGTGGGTATCTAGGACCTGAAAGAAATTCTCTAACACAGTGAAGATGGGAAGGAAGGAACATTCATCCAGGAGTTTCTGTACAGACTGATGTCATCCCAGGAGAGCACACAAGACAAGGAGTCAGCACATGGCAAAACAAATAAACCTAATTTATTTTAATTTTACCAAAGAATTAAAACTTTTCAATAAATTCAGCTATTCTTTAAGTATTCTATAAAAATCACAGCTAATAAAGAATTTTACTCGGGAGTGGGGCTATGGCTTAGTGGGTAAAGGCACTTGCCACTAAGCCTAATGAGTTGGATACCCAAAGACCCACATGGTGGAAGGAGAGAACCAACTCTCCCAAGTTCTTCACATGTGCACTGTGACATGCACACGCGTGTGCACCCACACACACTCTAATAAGATATAAATTTTATAAAAATTGCACTTGGGCCAGGCATGGTAGCTCACGCCTTTAATCCCAACACACAGGAGGCAGAAGCAGGCAGATCTCTGTGAATTCCAGGTCAGTCTAGTCTACATAAAGAATTCTAGGCCAGTCATGTCTACATAGTGAGACCTTGTCTTAAAAAAAAAAAAATTCACTTGGGACTCAGTGGATGAGCAATGGTTAGCATGCATGAGACCTTGCGTACAGTCTCCAGCACTTCCACCCCCCCACTTCAAAACAACTGCATTTTCAGCAACCTAACAGAAAGACTCTGGGAATCCTCCTGGCTTAATTTAATTCTCTCACTGGACAGGTGTCTTCCTATTGTTGAAAAGAAGAAAAAAAAAAAGATACCTTATTTAATTTACATTTAAGCAGGTAAAGCAGACAACTGATGTTAGAATTCCTTTAAAAGTCAGGCGTGGTGGCTCGCCTTAATCAAGGCAAAGGCAGGCGGATCTCTGAGTTCAAGGCCAGCCTGATCTACTCTGGCAAGATCCAGGCCAGCTGGGGCTCCAGAAAGAGGTCCTGTCTTAAAAAAGACCAAAAAAAAAGAAAAAAAGAATTACTTTAAAGGCAGAGGAGAGGGAGCAGGAAAGAAAATTAATTAACCTGAGTTCACAAAATTTGCAGGCTTGGGATCCCTTTACTCTGTTATGGAGGACTCCAAAGAACTTTTGTTCATGTGGTTTATATCTATTAATATTTAACATATGAAAAGTTAAAACTGGGACATTGTCCTACCATTTATGTTAGAAATAACCACCTGTGCCGGGCGTGGTGGCGCACGCCTTTAATCCCAGCACTTGGGAGGCAGAGGCAGGTGGATCT